ATAGAGCCCCCGGCCTCCCAGTGACTCTGCTGTGATTTCTGTTAGGATACATCCCATACAGCCCATCTTCCCCAGCTCCCCTTTACCTTCGGCAGATGTTGAAAAGACAGCAGCTGTAACATGACCCATGTCAGTGCCTGGCTTTGTGTACAGCCCTGGAGGCCTTCAGGTCAAAATAACGAACGTGAAACATGGAAGGAGTGGGATGTGACTTAGTAACACAGCAGACAGTGCATCCCGACTCCCTGTGGCTCCTACTACAGTCATCTTAGAAGGCAGAATGGCCACAGTTAGTTGGCTGTTGCTCAAACTATTTTTAAAACTCCTCTAGAATTGGGGTTTTTTTGCCCCTTTGGGGGAATTTCTTCAGATGTGGAGCAAGGACACAGATGGCACTGTGACTCGTTTCCTTACCTCTGCAGAACCAAGCTCATGACCCTCCATGTGATCTTCTTCCACAGCACGGGTGGGAGGTTGTGGACTCGAATGACTCGGCTTCTCAGCACCAGGAGGAGCTTCCTCCACCACCTCTGCCCCCTGGCTGGGAAGAAAAAGTGGACAACTTGGGTCGCACTTACTATGTCAACCACAACAACCGGACCACTCAGTGGCACCGACCAAGCTTGATGTGAGTACTGTGCGGGGGTCAGGAACACAGCTCCCCGTCTGCAGGGAGGGCCGGACGTGGCAGCTCTTTGGGACGTGGCTGGGAAGTACGTGTCATACCTGTAAAAGCATGTGGCCCAGTGGGACCACAGGGCTGCCCTCCGTGGAGTTCGCGCGTGGCAGCCTGTTGGAATTTGCGGGTAATAAGGAAGCGCTTGCCTTTGATCATGTTTAGCTGTTTTGTGAACTAGTTGATTTTGTCTGTGTTCTTTGTATAGATTTGTGAAACACAAAGCAGAGGTTACGTTTCGTGGATCTGTCTTTTGTTTGGTGATTATATCATTTCCCCCTTTTTCAGCTTCCTCTGCTCGCTGACTCAGAATGGAAAACAGCAAGCAAATTGGCTTTGCCATTTCCCCTTTTCCTTAAGATTTTGGGGTTTTAGTGCCTTTAATTATTTGATTTGGAAAACCCTCTCAAAATCTTTTGTTTTCCCTTTTGGGGGAATTTATATATCACCCCGTTGCTATAATTCGGAACGCATGGGAGGGTTGCAAACTTAGAATTAGTAATTACTATTTCTAATTCCTCCCCAGCCTCAGGGATGCGGTGCAGTGATTACTGTTTTGTTTACTTGGCAATTTTTGGTTTGATGATAGCAAGTAAACACTAGTTAAACCTCAGCTACTATAAAGAAGGATACAAAGTAGCTCATTTTCAAATCACAGTATACAAGACCTAAAACTATTAATAGGCAATAAAAGGTAAAAACAAAGTATTAAAAGAAGCATAAGGAAAAAAATATTGTAGCAATCGTGAGTTCTCTAGCAGCCAAGATGAAGAGGTACTTATCAATGAGTCCTATCATTTGCAATATGTACGAAAGGTCAAGTAGATCAGGTGAGATCATTTTCTCCTTACCCCAGACTCTGAAGGAAATTTGCTGATGACATTTTTGAAACAAGTGGTATTAGCAGTGTGATGGGTGGTGATGCTGATAACCCTTTTTTCTTTAGAAATTGCAGAGATATTCTGCCTATGAGTCTAGGTGGGGAAGGTGGCCCAGCGGTTTGGTCTGGGTTTTGTTGATTGAGAGCTAGAGCTTGCAGAACCTGCAGCAACGAATAGCCAGTCCTTCCTAAGCCCCCAGCTGGGTTCTCGTGAATATCAGCTGTCCTTGGTCAGCTTTGGACTCCCCAGCATGGACATCAGCTCATTGCTCCCAGGACAGCATAAGTATCTGAACATTGGGGTGATGCTGAACTCTTTTGTATTGTTTCTTTTTCCCCATAGAAATGATTCAGTGATTTTTAAAATGTATTTTATTTACTTTTTTCTATTTCTCTTTGATTAATGGCCATGGCTGTTAAAACTAGTGTAAGCCGTTTGATGACTCTATTTGTAGTTTTAAACAAATGGACTCATCTTGGACTTGGTTACATGCAGTGATTAGAATAATCTCAGTAGTGATACCCTAAGCAAAACACCATAATCTACCTTTGCTAAACATCATGAGAAAGCACCTTCAAACATAGCACTCTGTGGGGACCAGCGTGTCATGTGACCTCTGTGGAAAAGTGACCACTAGCAAGTCACAAAGGATGAAATACTAATGACTAATACATCTATGGAAAGTTTCACCTTCATTAATAATTATGTAGACTGAAGTCTGTATTTGGGGGATAAATGGTGATAATTGCCTCTTTCTCTACCTCACAGAGTTGTGCAACTAGTGAGGGAATTACTGAGAAAAAACTTCATGTGTTTTTCTAAACATAACATCTTTGGTGGCATTGCCCCAAAGAACTAAACCAAAACAGAAGGTGTAACTTGTGTAATGCTGCCAAAGCAGGAGTCCAGCCACGTGGGAAAGGTAGTTCTTCATCCAGGCTCGGGTCCATGTGTAGTTTAGGGAGAAGTCAGTGAAGGACCATCCCCAGCTGTGAAGGCGGCTGAGCTCAAAGGAGGGGCGGAGCCAGGAAGGACCTCGGAGAACTCGGGGCGGAGCTGGGGGAGTGGCTCCTTCTAGGAAGCAAGGGGAAGGTTAGATAAGGCCAGGGTGGGTTTCCCCAGTGACCTCTTCATCCCGTCGGAACTGTTTGAGAATTCGGGGTACCTTCTCCTTAACTTTATTTAGCTTGGCCAGAAGCTCTCAAGCCTTACGAAATTAAAGTATTGTTTTAATTCAAAAATAATTGTTTTCATAAGTCAGTTTTTCACAGAATACAATACTCTTCGGGGGAAAACTGATACTAAGAAATCTCTTTATTAAAAGGCTGTATCGGTGGGCACACAGTGCAATATACAGATCTTGTAACATAGAAACCCACACCTGAAACCTGTATGTTCATATTGACCAATGTCACCCCAATAAATTTAATAAAAAATAAATAAAAGGCTGTATCTGAGGATATAAGATAGTGATTACCATGTGCTAACCAACAATTAAGACTTTCCTGGTGACTCTCATTTCTTACCCTGTTTACTAGACTTGTGCCCTAAACTTCAAGCCCCCGAAAAATCTCTGTGCCCTCTGGTTGTTTTTATAAGGTCCATCTCTACCCTGTCTCTCCCAGACTCTCCACCACAGTCATTAACATCCAGTGCACCAAAGTGTCCCCATCATGGAGGCTGCTTCCTCATTTCTTTCTCTTTGCCTCCATGGTTGTGCTCGTTCCCCCTCCCCACCCCCCAGCCCCCCAAGAAAGGCAAAACAAAACTAGAACATGCCCCTTCCTCTGGCTCCCGTCAGCCTAATGCACCTTCAGCTAGGGAGCCACCCGGCGTCCCTGTGAAAGCCGTAGGCCTCCCCAGTCCTGGCGCGGAGCACAGAATATTCTCATTCCCTGTTGGAGCAGATGTGCCCTTTGCACCTGGCACAGAGCAGGAGCTCAGCCAGTGCCTTCAACTGAATGACTGCAGATGAGTCACTTCTGAAAGCGGTTATAGGCGCAGGGTTTCCTGAGCCGTCGAGGGCAGGTTTAGGCCTGGATGCAGTACTTTAGAGCAGAAGGTAATCAGAGAGGACACCCCAGCCCCCTCAGGTCCGATGGTGGCCTTTAAAACATCTCTAATTTTAGATTTTTCCTTTTCGTATTTAAACATAAACTGTAAACCTTTTACTGTAAAAAAAACTACAATTGTTTTTAAATGGTGAGGAATTACATTAAGATGATAAATGAAAATGAGATTGTTAAACTCACTTTCACTTTTTTTTAGCTCTTTCTAAAACTCTATATGTCTTCCCCATCTTAGCATTAATTCAGTCAAATCTAAATATAGTCACTAGTGTATGAATGTAAATGATCTGACACACTGATTTCAGTTGGCACTGAACTTGATAAATTCGTGGGTTTTCTTTATTCATTGGTACATTTCCCATGAAAGTCAAATGGAGAATGCATATGGGAGATTAATGACCGAAGAAAATCGAAATAGCCATTTCTTGAATTTTTTCTTGCCCCAAATAAAACAATTTTTCTGTTTTAATTTGTCAGATTAGAGATATTTTTACATGTTCATCCGGCCATGAGTGACCATTTAAATTTCCAGTCAGTTTCAACAACTTCTATTCCAAACCCTCTCATTCAGTTGCTTAATTAAATCAAAGGCCTCCGTGGCATGAACATTTTCATTTTATCACGAATGACCGTAAAAGCCCCGTGTTTGGAATTTCAAAATCAGAGGTATCTTGCTGCTTTATGCTGTTCAGTTGTTTCTGGTTCACACAGATTGCTAATTATTTGAGCATGTTGGGTAAGGAAGATTGGCATAATTGATTTTAAATGCCCCCTTTAATAAAAAATTAGTGCTTCCAAAATAATGGAATTTTGTGTACTTCTGAGAGATATAAGCCTTATTTTTCTCAGCCTCTCAGAAGTCCCTGTAACAATTCAAGTGCATGTAAGTTCCTGGCACATAGCCAGCATGCAAACATTGGTCACTCAGTGTTAACTGAATAAATGATGACTGATATTTCAAGTGAAGATTTAAAATTTTAATGACACCCTTATGTAGAAAATGTTTTTAAGTAAAGCCAGTCATTGTAAAGTGATACTGCTTTCCCCCTCAATAAAAAGGGGAACGGAAAATGCCAAGCTTCCTTTGCCTTTTTAGACACTATTGAAATGTTTTACATATATTATTAAGGTATTTTGATTGTTCTGATCTTCTAATCTTTGTGAGTTTTGTAATACCTTATAATTACTTTTTATAATCATTGTGTGCTTAAGAAATAAATGTCATGTAAAAATGACTGCAGTGACATAAAATCACAAATAGCAATTTACATTTTCTGACATACCTAATAGTGTCATTTTTTTATCATTCTGTTTTGGTGGTTTCAGAAATTTTATTAGTATACTTGTGTGTTTCTTTATTTTAATTATTTTCTTTCTGGGCATAATTGTCTGTTTTTCTGAAGGTATCTCTATTTAGTGTCCTATTTTTAGTCCAGTTATACTTTAATATTACTATAAAATATGCAGGATATATGTATCTGTTAGAGTTTAAAAGTTTGCATGTTGGGTGTCAGAAGTAAAATTTCATTAATTCAGATTTTCATAATAAGAAATTACCATTTTGATACGGATTAAATGAAAGCCAACCTTCATACTGCACCCTTTATTTTTACCAGTAAAGTTGATAGTGTAAAGATGTCTGTTGGAAGGACTTAAACTCTCTCGGGAGCTGGCATTCACGAGTCGCCTGTTTATTTGTATGCCGGGCTGCTAGTTGCAAGCTCTTCACTATTCGGTAGCCCAACAGGCTCTTTATTGGGATGTAGCATTCGTTTGTTTGAGACTGTATTAGAACCTTTAAAACCTAAATGTTTTAGGAAAAATCCTAAACAAGGGCCCTTGATTAATACTATATTTCAGTCAGTCTAAAATAATGTTTTCAAGTATTTTGAAATATTAACTTGTAACATCATTTTTGTTAACTGAATATAGTGTCTTATTGAAAGAGTCTGTGCGAGTTTTCTCCAAAAAACATTTTGACATTTAAACTTCTACTCTAAAGCCTCTAAGTAGTATTTCTCCCAAAGGATCATTGCCTGTAATTCACTGCAAAAGTTTTCAAGATGGGATCAGTGCTTTCAGATCCTGAGCTAAGAGAGAGTTACATGACCAAAAAATAGAGTGTGACATAGCAGTGTTCTCCAAATCTCAGTTTATCCGGGCTGTTATCACCTGATATTTGACGTCTAAAAGTAGTTGAACAGGGAGAAAGTGTCATGATTCTGAGGTTCTGTCCAAATGAGATCCCCAGCAGCTGGAGAAATTCATGTTGGGTCAGGAGCACTGCCCCCCACATCTCAGCTTTGCATTTGTCCTGCGCACACTCTGGTGCATTGTCAGTGGCCCAAAGTTGCTACCTTGTCATTGCTAGACTCCTAGAAGGGTCACGCCTGACACCTCTCCTTAGAGAGGCCTGACATCCCTGAGGCTACGGTTTCTCTTCTTTCTTGAATACGACAGTACATTTTGGTGTGTTTGCCTGAAAGACATGGAAAGTGCTGTGACAGATGCATTTAAAAGCTGTATTTATTTGCTGGAAATGAACCTAGGACTATACTTTGGCCAAAATACGGTGGGAGAATTCTCATTGTCAAAGTTTGTTGAACACGCGAGCACTGGCGTTTTAGTAGGCGTAAGGCGCTTGGCAAGCACTGGACTCCTGTTGAAGGGCCGCTTATCAATGTCGGTGTCCTGTCCCCACGCCCTGCCCCAGGGATGTGTCCTCCGAGGCCGACAGCAACATCCGCCAGATCAACCAGGAGGCGGCGCACCGGCGCTTCCGCTCCCGCCGGCACATCAGCGAGGACCTGGAGCCCGAGCCCTCCGAGGGCGGGGAGGCCCCAGAGGTACTGTCCCCTCCCCAGACTCTGCGCCCCTCCTCCCCCTGTCCCCAGCTTGATTCTCTGCTGTGATTTCTTTTCTCCATAAAAGCTGTTAAATGGTCTCATAGCTAATTGACAGCCATCGGGATATTAATTTAGAAAGTGCTCGGAACAGCCTCGTTTGATGAATACATGCATCTCTGTCATTACAAAAGGGAAGGACGTTCTTTGGAGGGGAATGTTAAGATTTTTTTTTTACTCTGTAATTGCAATTGAGTGAGCCCTATAACTAGTTTGCATACCACATCCAAGCTTTTACTGAATGCTTTTGACATCACAAAAGAGATTTATTATAACCAAGCAGATACAAATATGGGTGAATAGAAATGTTGATAATTTTTCCCTGAAGTGTTTATGGTAAGTTACTGGGGGAGGGAGAGTTATGAATTGAAGAACAAATGAACAATTATCATAACTTCCATGCTGCCTTAACACACTGTTTACGTACTAGAAACCCATTAAAGACATTATGTTAGGAAGAAGGTCATTTACAAAATGTTCCAGTGATCAGAATCCGAAGAGCAAAATTAATGATTCTGTAAAAAAATTTACTGAAAGTTGCTTTCTACCAATTTTTAATTACAGATTATAGCATCTCTGCTGCTTTCATTATGAATCCTCAGCAGTTAGAGTAAAAGGACATCCATGGAAATCATCCGTGAATTCTTGAGATTGTCTTTTAACCCATGAATTTAGTAACGAGTGCTAGAAGTCAGTCCCAGCTCAGCGAGGTGGTATAAAGTGGTTTAAGAGCACAGCCCCTGGAACCTGGCTTCCTCTGTTCAAAACCTGGTCCTGCCACTTCCCAGCTCTGTTACCGTGGGCAAGTCCCCCTCTGTGCCTCAGTTTCCGCATATGTTAATTAAGGTAGTAGTCATCTTTCTCATAGTTATTGAGAAGATTGCCTCCTAAGTGCTCAGTAAATGTTAATTATAGTTATGACGATGGTTATTGCTGGGGAGGGGACGAAAGGATTCCTGTTCCTAGTATTTACCTCGGCGTCTCATTCCTTGATAGTCTTGGGAGACCATTTCGGAAGAATCGACTAACACTGGAGACTCCCTCAGTCTGGCGCTGCTTCCCCCTCCACCTTCCTCCCCATCCTCTCGGACCAGCCCCCAGGAGCTGTCCGAGGAACTGAGCAGAAGGCTTCAGATTACTCCCGACTCCAATGGGGAGCAGTTTGGTTCTTTGATTGTAAGTCATGTCCTGTTTGAGAAGTGAAACAAATATTTTATCATTTTTTGTTGCACTAAGAGAGTCTTGTATGCAAATAATGACCGAGGGTCTTCCAGCTCCCAGGTAACTCTGACATTTTCCAAAGTTCCTCCTAACCTAGGAGCAGCAGGACTATGCCTAAATTAGCCCAAGCAGGTGAGACTCTTTCTTGATTTGAAAAGAATGCAACAGAATAAGAGTTCATGGCTTCTGTAATGATCAGATTTAACCTGGTGAGATTTCTCCTCCCAGCCATAGTCCTTTCCTCACCAAGGTGGCTTTTCGCATTGGGACATAGGAGAGGTTGGACCTCCCTGTCACTCCTCTTAAGTCATAGTCTGCGTGTGTTATCATTCGCATTTCACAGATGAAGGCGTAGTCTTCAAGTGACCCGTCCAAGACAAAGTTTGAATGGGAGATAGAAAACATCTACGTCCCAGAAAACCAATCCTTGTGAAGGGTTGTGGAATAGGAACACTGACATTAGGATAATAGCATTTGAACTTGGGTTCTTAGCAGTTAGGGACTCTTTCTAGAAGCTTCAGACGGGGCTAGGCCCCAGTGAGAAGCAGCAGAATCAGCCATGAAGACCTCCGGGGGTGCTTGACAGTACAGAACTGCAGGAGAAGCCCATAGAAAATGCCTGCTTGTGCATTAAGCTGGAAACAAATGCAGTCTCAGTTTTTTGAGAAATTGAACTTAAATATGTTCTATAGTAAAGATAATAGTGATATCACTGAAAATGGTATCCTAGAAAAGTAGTCATTATTACAATAATATAAAATGTAAGTGGAGGGGAGGACTGCATACAATGTAAAAGCAAGTAAATACTCACAAAAGTGTTATTCCTTCAGTTACAGTGTTTTTACTTAGAAAAACACCATTGGCCAGTTTGTGGGAGGTACAGTGATTACTTACTTAATGTGGTTTTATGTTAAAAGTCTATCAATGTTTTTCAGAAAGAGAAATACCACTGAGATGAAACCTTAGTACTAAAAGGGGCAGGAAAAAAGAGTTTGCATATATGAGATATTTGAATTGGTAAAACTGTTGCTATGGAAACAATATAAGCAGTGAAGCCGTATATTTAAAACCTATAAAAGGAAGTAAGTACTGCAATAATTATAGCAATTATACACCTTTGGTCTACCAAGTGAAAAATCATAATATTCTTCTGCATTAATATTAAGTTAGCATCTCTAATTATTTGTATAAGGAGCTCCTGCATTTAATTATTAAAGCTATGTAAAATATCTTTAACATCCAAGTGCAAGTGTTAGAATTATTTTAAGACTGTGTTCAGTCCAGTTCAGCTATTAAATAAAAGTGCCTGAGAAAGAAGAATATGGGGCTCTTGTCCAGTTTTGCTTGGGGTCACTCTATTCCAGAACAATAGCACGAACTTTTACTAAAGAATGACTCCTTCATGGCAACTGTTGCGGAAAGACATGGATAGTCCCCTAACCCCTTCACTGCCACAGAGTCTTTCTTTGATCTTATCCCATTTTATTTATCATTGCAAAATATCAGAAATGAGCCCAGCCGGTGTGGCTTAGTGGTTGAGCATTAACTTAGAACCCCGGAGGTCACGATTCAATTCCCAGTCAGGGCACAGGCCTGGGTTGCAGGNTGTGTGGTTTAGTGGTTGAGCATCAACTTAGAACCCTGGAGGTCACGATTCAATTCCCAGTCAGGGCACAGGCCTGGGTTGCAGGCTCATCCCCAGTAGGGAATGTGCAGGAGGCAGCCGATCAGTGACTCATCATTGATGTTTCTATGTCTCTCCCCTCTCCTTTCCTCTCTCTAAAATCAGTAAAAATATTTAAAAAAAAATAAAGTATCAGAAATGAGTAAATGCTACAAACATGTCCCCTGGATGAACCTGTTGCTGATTAGACCCCTGGCTTTTGTGTGTGTCACCTGCTGTGTTCTCTGATTGGACTTGTTAGGCTTTTCTTAAAAACTACATAGATGAATGCAAACAAATGAGAGGAACATTATACATTACACATTCGATTTATTAGGTTAACCTCATTTCCCCTCATTCCTTATCTGTAGGACTTCAACTCCATTGAGAAGCCGAAATTGTAAATACTCGACCCTTCAGAAGTAGCACAAGGTTATATTGGAGTTTCTCTGAATATAGAATCCAGTTGGTTCTTTGTCAATGATAATAACAGTCAATAAGTGTTTAATAACCATATATCAGTATTCCTTCCTCTGTCCATATCACACTGGAATTCACCTAGAGGTCGCTTCCCAAGGCAGGTTAGAAGACTTCCAGCTTCCTACTTCCACTTTTCAAGCAACCCGAGAGTGTTGTGGTGGCCTGTTGAGTCCCCTTTCATGTTTTGACCTTGCTCTCTTATTTTTTGCCGTTATTTCTAACTAAGGACCAATCAAAACCCCAGCCTGTTGAAAACACTGAGAATGAAAGTTGCAGATACCTTGAGTCCCGAAGGGATTACCCTCATTACTCTGAAAAGATGATGTTTCGCTTCATTACCTCCTGTCATTGTCATCGTAGAGCAGTGAGGAGGGTTGAGTGGTGTATTTCGTAAGCCCGTGAAACTTGTTTCCGAGAATGTTTTCTTGATGCTTCCTGTCCTTTCCTCCCCTTCAGCAGAGGGAGCCGTCCTCCAGGCTGAGGTCGTGCAGTGTCACCGACGCGGTCGCAGAGCAGGCTCATCTACCACCGGTAACCCGCGCTCATTTCGGGTCCTCAGTTGGCCCTTTCCGCTTTCATTCAAAATCCTCGGGGCTACTGAGGAAGAGTTCTTCCTGTGAAAATGCATTTACTATGCAAATGAGACATGCAAATTTCCTAGCCAATCGCCCACCGGAGAGTGGATTTCCAATGCAAGGTTGTTTTTGCCACCAGAGTCTCTGAGATGGTAAAGACTCCATTGCTTAGTTTTTCACCCAAATTACTACCAATTCTGATGTGCTCACTTAACTAACAGCATATGTTAATAATTACGTTTTTAAAAAACTTATTTTAGTCCCTCACACTATGCTCCGGTGACCTATATTTTAAGACAATATTGAGTCCTTTTAAACAGGAAGAACTCTCCTGGGTTTCCACGCCCAAGGCCTAAACTAACCCCACGCGGCCGCTGTACCTTCTCTCTAAAGGCAGCTGTACTGACTGAAGAATTAGCTACAACTTGTTTCCACTCTCCCAGGATTTTTGTAACTAGCAGCAGATATGGAAGAGTGGAGAGCATTTAATAATATAGAACATATATAAAAATGTATATTCTAATTGGAAGGCAGACCAGACCTGCCTTGGGAGATGTTTGGTGTACACATTAAAAAATAAGAAAACGTTACACGTAAGTTTGTTTCTTTTTTGGAGGGGAAAAAATATGTGGTCTTAGCATGTTCAATTTGATGTTTGACCATAACCAATATTTTTATGACTGCAAATCCTCAATTATTTTTAGCACTAATACTGTATTATGTGTGAGGAGGGGAAAGTGCACATACAGATTTGCGACCACAGTGTCTTCCCCATCGTGTATACTTTTGTACCACTCAGAAGGATATTTTTGCCTAGGTTTTTAGTCTTTTACTCTTGCAAAATAAATTAATGAGTATACTAGTCAACTTTAATAGTCAAAATAATGGATTCATTTGTGCCTTGTATCCAATGAGTGCTGGTGATGAGAGAAGCTTGACAAGAGCGTCCTTTCTGGGATGGTTTCAGTCCTGGCCTCCCCAAAACACAACAATCAGCATTGATGGGCTGGTGGGATCCTCAGCCTAATGTTTCTGTGATTTTCCTTGATGAATTAATGGCACTTTCTCTCCTTTTCACAATCAGTGTCAATTTTACTTGCCAAAGAGCTCGTTGATGAAACTGATGACTCCTCTCTCTTCCCTTGTGCTCTGGGAAGCTGTAAACTCACTGATCACCAGTGGCCTCTTATTTGAATTTTCAGTGTGGCAGATTTAAAAACCTGCTCATTATTTAATAGTGGGGCCAAAACCATCGTGGTTTTCAATTTTTTTTTCCTGAACAAGACATCTCACATTATGGAGGCTGTCAATTCATCATTGAGCCAAATTGAGTCAGCAGCCCCGAGGCTTCTGTGGGTGGGAGGTTGATGGGTTCCTTTTGCCTCTGGTCATCAGTGATTGCTCAGCTTTATCTGGACGGGATGGGTTTCAAGGATTCTGATTCGTGTCACCTGCCTCACTGGCTGCCACAGCAGTGATTCCTGATTCAGTAAACCACGGGTGGTCTCCCTAAGTGCATTTCACTGATGTAAATTATCATTTAACAGCCCAGTGCCCCAACTAGGAGAGCACGTTCATCAACTGTCACGGGTGGTGAGGAGCCAACGGTAATGATGCCCTCGATCAGACTTTAATGGCAAAACTGTGGGTTCGTTTTAGTATTTTCTATAGTGGTGAATATGTTCCATTTTTCTTTTTTGGGGTGCAATCGGCTTTTTTGTGTGTTACAGAGGTGTACATCGTTCTTATTTTAAACCTTTCACTTTCACATTGTTCAAAGGTACTGGGTAAAACTCAACCATTTTCAGTCTCACATAGTTTTATTAGGAAGACTGTCAAGCTTTGGTTAAGTGCATTTAATTTGACCATTTAGAATATATTTTTGCCTTTTAGGGTTTGTGCTTTTGATAAGCTTTTGCTGTTTGTTAGAATGCTTGGGTAAATGAATTTGGCTGAAAGAGAATCGGGGGAGGCACAGGAACTGAATGTGATTGCACAAGTGGGTTTTTAGTTGTGCACAGAGCTGTCTCTCTTGTGTGTTTTCTACCCCACATTTTAAACGCTGAGTTAGATTTTCTGTGTCATGAGCTTGAACCAGTGACCTTTCTCTGCTATCACAGACCCTCCTCACAGGAATGAACACGTGTTCATATACTTCTTTGGGGGTGGGAGGGAAGGGAATATATTTAAGAAGTTTAAAGTCTATCAAAAATGGTGTTTCCTTAAGCAAGGGGTGGGGAACCTTTCTTCTGCCAAGGGCCATTTGGATGTTTATAACATCGTTCTTGGGCCATACAAAATTATCAGCTTAATAATTAGCTATTAAAAAAGCTCCTAGATTTATTGAATTTCTAGCCCCACCAAATGATTTCGAGAGCCGTCGGCTGGACGTTCCCCATACCTGCTCTAAGCAAAGTATCTGTTACTGTTATTATTCATTGTTTTAAATGGTGGATTTGACTGTGTATGTTGATTGCCAATTTTCTATTTGATCCCTGAAGACAGGCTAGTTTATAGTTTATGCTTGGAGCTGCTTTAGCTATTTGACGAATTTTCCTTATTGTTTCACCTTTGTTATGTTTGTTATACTGCTTATTACCTGAGGACACCTTTAAGTGCATATATAATTGCTGATTTTCTTCAGGATGTTGATGATTTAAAGGAACAGTTTTGTAACAGTGTTAGAATTTAATGCTTAGCATTATACACAGGAAAGTCAAATTTGCAATCAGCAAAACTCAGCCTCATTTAAGCTATTGAGCCACAGTAATTTTTGTGAAAGTCATGTGTCAGGTGGGCCAGGCTCAGCCTCCACTAGAAGTCCCAAACTTGCAAATGAACTGGCACACTGCCTGTTGTGCACTAGAAATTTCTGTGGCAGTAGAGCTGCAAGGTGGACGGACAAGATCGTTTCATGAAATAATTTTAGCAGAATTCAGTGCTAATGAGCACCCTCTTCCATCCACGTTTGCATTGTATTGGAGTGTTGGGAGTGTTGGGGTGTTGTGGGAGCTGTACTATCAAATGACGGGATAGACTGGTGGTGAGGGTGCTGGGCTCCTTGTAGGAGCTTCCTGGCAGGTCCGAGAGATGATCTGAACCAGATCCCTGTGGCCCTTACCATGGCCCTCTTCTTGCCAGTGCCCTTCCTTCCCTCACCAATGAACCACAAATATGAGTGTGTTTTGGTTTTTTATGTTAAAGGACTGGGCCATAGGAGTAGTTCCTAAATGTTTTACCTACTCTCAGGCTGTCTGTGTACCTGGTCATCTTTGGCTGCAATAAGCCAACTTATTTTGTGGCCACATTTGAAGTTTCAGTGGGTTTGCAAGTATCACACCTGTTCCTTTTCCATCATCACTATCCCTTGTCACCAGTGCCCTTTATCTTTTCCAGTTCCATCTCCTACCGTGTTTTTCCCTCTTACACCCGCTCCCGCCCCTCTCTGTGTCAGCCCCACACTGAAGCGTACACTCTTACACTGGAGCTGTGTCCTGCTGTCACAAACACACACACACGCACACGCAGATAAATGCGATCTCATGTACATATCACTGAGCAAATTGATACTTTTCACTTACGGTCATGCCTCTGAGACATGTTAATAATTACATAGTATTCAGCGATGTGAATGCACCAGTTCATATAATCTTCCCACTTTGGTGAGCATTCGACCCCCTACCCCACCCATTGGTCCTGGGTACCCTGTTGCATGAACCATCTTGGTCCACCTGTCTTTCTTTGGCAGTGCTTTTATTTCTGTAGTGTGCCAAGCAAACCCTGCTTCTTACCTGCAGAACCACAACCCTTGGATTTACCACAAATAAGAATACTTTCCAGCTAGCGAAGCACAAGCCCTCTCAGAGATCAAACGAGAGGAAGAGCACAGCACAGTCCTTCTGGTCTTTCCTATTGAGACCCTAAAATAAACTGAGGTGACAGGAATGGCAGGGTTTGAGTGAATCTTGGAGCATTGGCGATACTGCCAGACATTGATCATCTGTAAAAGCCTATAGAAAATTTATGGTCTAAACATAATCAAGTTTATTTCATTTTAATGAAATAAACAGAGCCGCTACGATGCTGTAGCGAAATGGCTGTTTGGCATTAGGAAACACGATAGTATATTCGAAGGAAAAGCTGTGGGATGTTAAATTAAGCTTACTAGCAGTTTTAACTTGTCTCTTGACTGATTAACTTGTGTCTTAAGGTAGAATGCAATGCACGTGTGTGTGCACACACACACTCTCACACACACAGGCAGTGGGAGTCGGACCGGCTCAGAGCTGGCCGGTCCGTGGTCTGCCTGTAGAAGCTGAGTCCTGCCCCTCCCTGGCTGTGGGTGGCGGGAGGCAGTGTTTTGAGTCACAAGTGGAGTCATCAGCACAGGTTGTTCTCCATGGTCATTTGGAAAGAAAGCTAAAAAGAGAACATTTTAATAACACCAGCTCGCATAAGTGGAACTAGATTATGGGTTACCAATTCAGTTCTCAATAGAAGGTACAATGGGCGCTTTAATCAAAATCTCTGCTACACTCCTGATTTTCCATATCTGTTTAGACCTATTCACTGGACCTACAAAAATAACCTGGTTGCTGGAATACTGTGCTGGAAGTCACTCAGCTTTAGAACTCGATTCTGAGGTTACCCACGACATAGCCAGGCTATTCTAGTTTATCAGGCTGCTCGTAAATACCCCGTCCAGGGGTGGTATAACTGTAAAACTATCCTTAAGGTTTCCAGAACAGAGTTTTCTGAGGGCCTGTCTCATTGCCTTGCCCCAAAAATAACTCAACGGGGAGCAAGAAAAGCAACAAATTCCATTTAGTACTTCATTTAGCCAAAGTATTTTTGGTCATCATATGACCAATAGTAGGTCAAAGCTTGATAGCACTTACTTTGCACACAGGCTAATGGACCACTAACTTGGGTTCTAACTTGATTTAGCAGAGTCTTTTTTTGTAGTGCCCAGGTAAGAAGTAGACTGGAAGTAGCTCTTTTCTGTTGTTGCCACAGCTAGAGGAGGAGGGAGGGAAGAACTTCGGGCTGTGGACGAATTCATCTGACTTAAATACTCATGGGAGGATCATGTCTGCGTGTTGGTGTTTTGTCCGCTCTAGTTGAATCCTGCACCTCGGTCCAGGACGCTGTATGGTCAGAGTCTTAGAATTAACCGTGGTGGGGCCCTCTGGACTTTATCTGGAGAAATGTCAAGGAAATAGTTGCAGTTTTAGCAGAAAGTTTTCTTGCCAGTAATCTTGCCTTGCCTGGTAAAAATGTTTTAGAAATAACCATTGAAGCAGCTGCTTCATGGTCTCAGTTAGTTTTTTCTCTGGAATGTGCTGTTGAGCTCAGGAAGTGGAATATGGAGCCTCATTAACCGAAGTCCCCGAATTACATGATAGTGTCCTTGAACATGCTAATCCAGGGTCCTGCAGAGGACTGGGGACTCTCTATGGGCCTTCTCAGCCAGGGTACATTGTTGATAATGCACAAAAGGTGGGATGAGCATGGGGAGAAGCTGGGCTAAGAGATCTACATCCTTGGCCTAATATCAAGAAAGTGACAGCTGGTAAAACATCTGGAGGGTGAGAAGGTCCTCATTAGGGAAGATGGTAGCCAGAAAGAAGTGGCTTCCTTTTATATCTCACATAATGTTTGGCCTCTCGCTTCTTTTACCTTCTCCTGGGAGCCTGGATAGCCGTGGTTAGCTTCTTGTTTCTGAGCCCCCCCCCACCCTTAGAGTAGCACCCCTTTCACAATTACAGATCTGATATGCAGCATCCATATATCTGGGACTTCCTCCTGAGACAGCGTTGACCTCAGATGTCCATCTCGGTGCCTCCTTGAGTCACTGAAACATCCTTGCTATTTCAGAGTCCTCCACCCCCGACTGCATTTCTCAGACTGCCTCTTACAAGCAGAAGTGTCTCAGGAATCCTTTTTCTATCTAATTTGGGCTGTCTAAATATAGCCACTCTATACTGGACATGTCTCTAAACCTGGAACCTGCCTGTGCTTCCTTCGCCCTGTAAAGAGACAAGCTCCTCATAGGCACGCAAGGGAAATGCAGCCTCGGCTACCAGGCTCTAGAATTCTGACCTCAGCTTGCCAGGTGGCCTCCTGAGCTGGGGCAGCTGGGGGTCCTGGTCGGTCCTCTTGATTATATGCCACTGGTGTGAATGCAGAGCTCCTAGAGAAGGAGCTCTGTGTATTTTTTCTCTGAGAGAGACAATGTAAGGGCCCTAAACTCATGACAAATTTAGGAATAAGCTAGGGAGAGTATCTCTGTGGCAGCTATATTGAGGGGAAAATATTCAAAGCATTCCTGTCATAGACAGTGACATTTGACAGTTCGAAATGCCTTTAAGCTCTACACAGTTTGACAGTAAAATTTAGTATCTAAAACAGATTGTTGTATTGGTCTCTTATCACATTAGTAACAACCTTTGCATTTAAGACTTCAGGGCGTTAGAACTGAGTTCTGTAAGATGTTGGACTCCATAGGGGTTCATTTCACAGTGGATTTGAAGCTACTGGAAATCTGTTTTTGGACACTAATGTTTGGGGTACAAATAGAATTATCTTTGTCTAGAAAAAAAATTACCTGAGTGAACATAACTTTATTAAACTTACCAGAAAACAACTGCATTAAGTAATAATGATTTCTTACACAAACAGCCATCAGTGGCCTATGTACACACCACGCCGGGCCTACCTTCAGGCTGGGAAGAAAGGAAAGATGCTAAGGGACGCACATACTATGTCAATCATAACAATCGAACCACCACTTGGACTCGGCCTATCATGCAGGTATGCAGATCTCCATACAACCGAAAATTGCAGGCAGCCGAAGCTGAAATGTACATGAGCTCCATGTTGCTGATGTTTATGTCTTGTCCTGAGATCCTGTGTTTTAGAAATTTTGTTTTCCCACAAAGAAAATGCCTTATTTTAAGTATAATATATGCCTAAGGAAGAATTTGGTTCCCTAATCAGCCTGTCCCTAGATATATTATTTTTTAAATGTCACATGAAAGATATTTTCAAAGTAAGAGCCTGTGATAAAGTGTAATGCCTCTCCCAAGATGCACCCCCCAGTGTTTCCTGAGACTCGTTTCCATGCTGGACCAGTGATTCATTTTTATTTCCCTTGAATGTGTTTCCCCACCCTTCCCCCTCCCCCATTATTATGTTTAATCATTTCCTCCATGCTTTAAATAGACCAGACCTCTCATTACTGCTGGCTGTGTTGTTGTTTGGGTCCACACTCCCAACCATACACACTGGGAGATCCTCACATGAAGCTAACTTGTTTTTGCTCCAACATAGCTTGCAGAAGATGGTGCATCTGGATCCGCCACAAACAGTAACAACCACCTAATCGAGCCTCAGATCCGCCGGCCTCGTAGCCTCAGTTCGCCAACAGTAACTTTATCTGCCCCACTGGAGGTGAGAAGGCTACTCATCTAACTGGGGTCACGTCTATCCTGTGACTTCTCATTCTCTCTTCTCTCTTAACTTGGACTTCGGTTTCACAGCCACCTTCCTGTCTGATCAGTCATTGTGTTCATGGTGAAGGGTGTTCTTGTGCAGCCTTACTACATGCTTCTCTGTTCCGCCCAGCTCACATCCCTGGACTCTCGCCCGATTCTTATTCTCATGGGGTGACTTGTGCTGGATGTGCGGGCCCCTCTTTTCAGAACTTTTTCCATTCTTGTGTTTCTCTCCTCCTTGCCTGTTACCTCATTAGACATGCATAGTAACTCTTTCAAATACCAGTGCTTATATTAAGTTTTAAATCATAGCTGTGGCTTTGATCATTTCTTTTCCTTTCGACTGTAGGGGCTGTCATTGTGTGGGCATACGTGTTTTTGATGCATATCTGCACCGCTAAGTCATTGCTGCGCATCTGCGTGTGCTCCTGTTCATGTGGTCTGAGTGCCATTGCTTAACATCACATGTCAAAGAGTTAGAGAAGCCAGAGCACAGACGTTCGAGTTTTAAACTTGACTGTGTCCTAGAGACAGCTGTGGGATTTGATTCTTTGTGCCCTGGGCCTAAGATGCTGATGAGTGGGAATGGATGATAGCTCTCTTCCAAACTGTGATATAAATGTCATGGGTAACCATACGAGTCCAGGAGGTTGTCTTTGATGACCTAGGGGTTTCTTTCTGTGCTCTGCAAGTTGTCAACCCATTCTTCATTAGCCTGTGAGCTCATTAGGAGCAGGGGCACTTTTTTCTCCACCCTCTGTAGAGTCTTCATTCAGAATTCTCAGTAGAGAACAGTATTTTTGGTATGTATCTAGTAGCTATCGAAGAATGGTGGTTTTAAGTAATTAATGTTGTGTGTTTAACCAATTAAAAAACTCTAAAGTTAGATTGATTCAAAGAAAACAAATGACAGAAATAGTTTTCTTAGGAGCTTCCCCTTGCCCCTCTCCAAAGAGGAGCGTTCGTGAGGCCCAGGTACATTGTGACGCATCTGAGGAGCGCGTGACGAGAGTTCTAATGCTCATTGTTATTCCTTAGGGTGCCAAGGATTCACCCATACGCCGGGCTGTGAAAGATACCCTTTCCAATCCACAGTCCCCACAGCCATCACCTTACAACTCCCCCAAACCACAACACAAAGTCACACAGAGCTTCCTGCCACCCGGCTGGGAAATGAGGATCGCGCCGAACGGCCGGCCCTTCTTCATTGACCATAACACAAAGACTACAACATGGGTAAGGCCGCTGCTTTTATTTGGCTCCGTTTTCATCGTGAGGTCTGGCGTTGGTTCCTTCATCCCCTCACTCCGTACTCATGGTTCTTGTAGAGAAATTTCACTGACACCCAACTTGTCCCCAGAGGGTCTTCTCAGCCTGCCGCGGGATTCCGCACGTGGGAGCAGGTGACAGACGGGCGCAGAGTCAGGGCCAGCTGTTGGCACCAGCTTGGATGCCTTTTCTCCAGGGCACTCCTGGAAAGCGATAGTTTTGACAGTTTACCGTATTTGGGGGGGAGGGGGAACAGTGCTCCATAGAGCAAGGATGTTGATGTTACTGCTTCACCTCTCCTGATGTTGTGACGGGAACTCTAATCTTTCTAAAAATAATTTTCCCTTCTCAGTTTCTCTTTGCATTTTTATTAACATTACCCATCTTTGTTTGATTTGTCCCTTTAGTTTGTACCGTTCACCTTGGAGTAGTATTTTACCCTTCTCTGCCGCATTTCATACCTTTAACTGTGGGGTCAGAGATGTACTGAAGGACCTTGGTTGTAAATGTGGTAGCTCTTGTTTCGTGAACATTTTGTCCAGTTTGACTTTCCACGTGCCCGAGTCATGCGTGAGAAAGAACCTATGTGTTGTGTGAACTTGGACGAGATGAAATAGTTTAAAAGTGAATGTGCATATCTTTATATTCCTCTGTCAGTTCGTGTTTTAGCTGAATCAGTGGTGGCTCATTTGAGGTAGCACATCTTTTTTTTAAGGGTGATATTTTTCTACTAATAACCTGTAGACCTGTGATTGAACTGAAATTGGCTCTCTTGTTTCTATTTCCCATGCTACAAAAGGTTCGTTTTTCTTCCTGTCCATTAGGTCCCCATTAATGGTCCGGGGACAGAGTTTAACTCAGTCCTCCTAGCGTCTGTGCTGCTTGCGATGTGAAGGCTGGCTGAGTTTTGGGATTGTCGGTGGCCCTGGCTCCTTGGTCTTGGATCAGCGGTGAACACATGCTTTAAATCCTCATTTCCAGTGAAGACACTGTGTGTCCAGTTGTGAGAACAGCAGTGTTGTGTTAATGAAGAGGGCTGGGCCACCATGACCTGGACTGTCATTTATATTTTGACCATGTTAATTCAGTCCCTTGAGAACTGGACAAGGTAGCCTAGACGGCTCTCTCTCAAATCCTATGAGTAGATCATGGTGCAGCACATCCCTGCGAGGACATTCTTGGCATGTGGGGCAGGACTGTGACGGTGCCTGTTACTGCAGGACACTTAACATCCTTGGTTCCTGCCACTGAATAACCACCGTTTCTCTCCCTCCCCCACCACAGTGACAACCAAAAATCTTATCTCGCATTTGCAAGCGCCCCTTAGTGAGAACTACTGTAAAAGTTCTTACTTTAAAGTAAAGGACTAGCCTGCCAGGTGGATTTATCGTTTAGATCCTGGTGACATTCATTAAACTCATAACTACCTCTAAGGCATATAATAACATGTAGCTTTGTTTGACTCACCTTTGAGTCTGCAGATCATATTACAGGTTTGGGGCCAAGATGAGAGTAAGAGGTAGGCAGGCAACTTTGGGGGAAACAGACTAATGGGGATTTGGTTTTTAAGTCTTTTTTTTCCTCGACATAGAACCTGTGGCTGTCCTGCTCGAGTACCCAATTTTGCAAATCCTCAGCCAGGAATGGGAGCTCCAGGAATGGGTAAATAGTATAAAAGTAGGTGGATTAGTGTATGGAGCCACTGTGGCCTGCCAACATAAGCTTTGATTTTAGTAATCTGAACTAGCTTAGTAACCAAATCCCCTAACCTTTGCACAGCCTCCGCACCACAACTGCAGAGTAATTGCAGCTGGGCAGGTTTCCTTTTAAACAGCCTCAGCTTTGTTTACTGCCTGCATCATTGCCGAATGAAACCCAGTTTGAATTTCCAGTTGTCCCTTTCTACTCAGATGCTTGTTATTGACTGATTGATTTAAATTTTTAATTCCTTATAAAACAACATTCTTTTGCTGCTGCCATCGTCGAAAATCCTCACAGTAACAACTGGAAATTCCCCCAGTGATTCCCCTTCTTCACTCAACTCAGACAGGACGGGCTGGCCCAGCTGCTCTCTCTCCTTCCAGACAAAGGCCTGTACAGAACTCTCACTGTTGAAGGCATGTTCTACATTTCCTGTTGATTCGGACAAAAGATGGAGGAGGGATAGAGGGAACTGTAAAGATAATTTTCAGCTTAAAAATCTGTCTTGAGTTGGTTTGGCATTTGCTCCATTTTTTTAAAATTTTTAATCCGCACCCGAGGATATTTTTTCCATTGCTTTTCAGAGAGAGTGGAAGGGAGAAAGGAGAGAGAGAGACACATCGATGTGAGAGAGACACATCGATTGGTTGCCTCCCACATGAGCCTTGAGGGGAATGGAGCCTGCAACTGAGGTACATGCCCTTGGCTAGAATCAAACCTGGGACCCTTCAGTCCGCGGGCCAGCACTCTAACCACTGAGCCAAACTGGATAAGGCTTGCTTCATTTTTTTTAAAAGAGAGAAAAAATGAGAGGCTGGCATGGTTTTTCTTAGATCTGAGCCCTGTAGTGAAAAAGGAAGGAAAGCTGGTGGAACAGGTGGAGACTAGTGAAAACAGTACTCCCGCCCCCCTCAGCCTGCGCGCTCTAGATTCCTGCACCAAACCAGAGCATGGAAAGGTCAGATCAACATTTCCCGTCTACATGCATAGGGGAAAGTTCCTGCTGATGTCTGTTTATAAAGCATGACCTGCTGTGAAAGCAGTGTGCCTGCTGCCCTTCTGGAATAACGTCTGAGACCCCAAGCCTGAAAGCCTGTCCACCATGCTCTCACCCCTTAGTGACACCTAGAAGAGGCATTGAACCCTGTCCATGTGAGGATTCCTTGTAGCCAGTCTCCCAGCCATTGCTTCACTTGTCCCCACCTGGGGCAGGGCACGGATGCCTGCTGGAGGCCAGCAGGTGACCAAGGAAAGATTATAAGAGGCCTTCAGTTTGTTGCTTTTGCTGAGGAAGCAGCTTGAAGCATGTTTATGTGAGTGTGTTTATGTCTCTTGCAGGACAAAGCATTGGCTTGTTTTGGTAGTGAAAAAGAGTTTACCTTAATGACCTTTCAGGTTTGTTTTCTACCTGGATCCAAACTCATTGTAGCTGAGGCGTGGTTGTTGATCTCTTCTGGGATGGGGAAAAAAGCAGTTGTTTTTTGAACCCGTGAACATTCCCTTGTTTTATATATAACGATTCTGCTGAAAAACCTTTTTGGTTTTTAAAGAGATGTTGATCTTTGCATTCTGTTTAAAACCCCTTTCAACTGTATTGAGAGAAACAAATGGGAAATACTGAAATAAATGTGAAATGGGAGTGTTCTTACTGTGCTGAGAGGACAGAGAGAGACAGTGGAGCATGCTTCTTCGTATTTTATTTATTTAGATTCTTATCATTTGAGCCTCATTAGTGTTCCAGCTGTTGGCATCCCTGAAGTTGTCATGATCATCTGGAGCCTTGGCTGCCCTCCACCTGTGCCATCAGCTTGGGAGTGCCCGCCTCCTTGGTTGTTCAGGGGATTCAGTGGGGAAGGGGGGTTCAATGTGCCTCCTAGACTTAGCCTTCAGAGCTTGAGGGAGTGCAGCTGCTGCCGTTATTTTTATTTTTGTTGGTATAATCAAATATGACCCCTAAGGCCCACCAGCCCTCACATTCTTTGAATTCTGGGTTTCTATGCAAGGCCATTATAGCAGACCCATGAAATTGAGTTTATTTTATACTTTGTGCTCCCCCGCCCCCAGCCCCTACCCACTGGCACTTTAATTTCAGCTTTTATTTTCCCCCCTTTAAATCACCAGCTTTTTACCAAAAGGGCTGGTTGTCTTTCACCATGGCCTGTGTGTGGGATTCCAAGGCATGGCTGGCCTTGTGTGGAGTGTTGGAAGGCCCTGTCTTCCTTCATGTCATAGCGGCCTCAGCTTGCTCTAAACCTTCCCAGTCGGGGTCTGTGTTCCCAGGGGTCCCCCATGGTTGTGATTTTAACTGGGCCAGCTCAGAGCAGCGAGTGGGTAGCTTTTGTGGAGTTCTGTGCTCTGTAAGTTTTTCCTTGGTCACAATGAACCCATCATAAATGTTTCCAGAATGTCAGCTGTTCAGAGTTTCTAAATCCTAAATCTGTTTAATTTATCTGTTTACACTGTATGTGTTCCAATAATCTACAGAATGCTGGGCCTGTTTTGTGCCTTTACTTATCCTTTTTAAAAGCATACTAGTGAAGTTCAGAGTCAATATCCATCATGATTAATTTCTTCAATTAAAAGTTTGCTATAGCCCCGCTGGCTTGGCTCAGCGGTTGAGCATCGATCGACCTAGGATCCAGGAGATCGCAGTTCAATTCCTAGTCAGGGTACATGCCCGGATTGCGGGCTCAATCCCGAGTCAGGGGCGTGCAGGAGGCAGCCGATCAGTGATGACTCTCTCATCATTGATGACTCTCTCATCATTGATGTTTCTGTCTCTCTCCCTCTCCCTTCCTCTCTCTGAAATCAATAAAGATATATTTTTAAAAATTTTTTAAAAAGTGCTATAGCTAACAGNGTGCTATAGCTAACAGAAAGCAACGCTTAGTTTTATTTTTTTCTGATTTTTTTTTTTTTTTATTCTTGCCAATTTCAAAAATCTATTGCTTTGTTTTAATCCAGTAATTCTAATGGTTTAAACTATTGACTGGGAAGAAAACTTTTAACAGCTTTTTTGAGATTTGATTCACATACCAAACAGTTCACCCTTTACAATATACAATTGAGCCCGGTCAGGCGTGGCTCAGCGGTTGAGCATTGACCTAGGATCCAGGCGATGGGGGTTCGATTCCCCGTCAGGGCACATGCCCGGGTTGCGGGCTTGATCCCCAGTCTGGGGCGTGCAGGAGGCAGCCGATCAATGACTCTCTCATCATTGATGTTTCTGTCTCTCTCTCCCCCTCTCCCTTTCTCTCTCTGAAATCAATAAAGATATATTTATAAAATAAAATATATATATATATATGTACAATCGAATGGGTTTTAGACAAACATTGAACAAAGTTGTGCAGCCATCACCATAACCAGTTGTAGAACACTCTCATCACCCCCAAAGGAAACCCCATATCCATTAGTAGTCACAAAGTAACTTTTATGAAAGGATTTTTTTTAAATCGGTCTTATTTGATTGACATTCTGTTATTCTGAGTTTTATTGTTTGTTTTCTAATCTTTGGCATTTAAAATATGAATTCTCTTAGTTACCTTGCATATTTACTGGGTCTCTATAAGTAAGGGGCAGCTCCCAGACTCAGGATCAGAACCTCTGCACAAGTTCTTGTTCTTTTTGAAACTCAGTTTCCCCATCTAGAGAAATGGAGATCATGTACCCAACCCCCTAACAGCGTGGTTGCAAGATCATACGTCTGACTGTAGTTTGTCAGTTATAAAGCATGACCAAAGATGTCAGACTATGTGTTCCTCTTTTGTTGGTTCTCTTTGGTATCTTAAGAAGCAGGCCTTTTGCAAACTTGTAAGTATTAAGGTACACGTGAGAATCTAATCTGTGGACCTCGAGAATCTCAGTCCAGTTGTATAGTAGGGACGTGACTCTGATGAAGCCAGGGACAGCTCCCGACCTGACAGTCAGACCAGACTCAGGTTCCCTGCTCTACCTAGTTCAGCAAAGAGTGGGAGGGAGAAGATGGGAAGTCCAGTGCGGATGGAGAGGCTATTCCAGTGGTACTGGGCCAGCTACCCTCACCCGCAGCTCTGGATCCATAGGGAGATTACACAGCAGGTCCTCACTCGCTCTTCTGTGGAGTGGAGCCGCCTCTTTGCTGGCACCTTTTATTCTGGTTTCCATAGTAACATCACTGCTGGGTCCCGCTTCCTCTTCACCTGCTCAAGGTCTTGGGAAAACGTTAACGGTTTATTTAAATATTCTTACTCTCCTTCTTTCACCAAGGCCAAGGAGGAAGAGTGGAGTCTTTTCTGAGAGACGGTCAGCCCGTCTTCCTGGTCAAAGATGGGACCCTGCCCTCCCCCGAGCAGGCAGGAGTGTGGATTGTGCATGGGCACCCTGGTTGCCATGGAACATCAGCTCCAGGAGGGGAGGAGCCCACAACAGCACACAGATGCCACCCTTAACGCGTTCTGCCTTTTACATTTTTCTTGCAGGAAGATCCGCGCCTGAAATTTCCAGTACATTTGCGATCAAAGGCACCTTTAAACCCCAATGACCTTGGCCCTCTTCCTGTGAGTACACTGGAGACACATGGACAAGTCTGAAAATGTTCATTCATTTATCTGCCCAGTGTTGATGGAGAGGCCCTGGGACCTCTTTCTCCAGACTTGGCCCATTGGTCTATAATTTCTTACTAGAATTGGGTGTGTGGCTGAATTCTAATAGTACATAAAATTCATACAACAGCCAGTATGTATAAAAGAGGTTTCTGAATTGCTAGCTGCCGTGGAAGGTAGACCTTGTAACTAGGATGTAGGAGGCGTTCTTTACAGGTGGCAATTTAAGCAGCACACAGTTTATTTTGTAGCATAGCAACCATAAGTCCTGCCCATAATGCTGATTTAGTCAATAGGAACAAAAACATTAAAAATGATGGGAGAAAAAGGCATAGGTACTCACAGAAGGTTTTTGTAAGTCATCTTGCCTGCAGATATTCTAGGTTTTCTTCCCTGGTTGATGGCTGTTTATAAATCTAATTTTTTATCAGTTCTCTGGAAGCCTGAATGGGATTAAGCTATTTACTCCAAGTTGGATTTTGAATGAAAATTTCACCATATGTCTTCTTCAACCCACCCCCAATGGAAGAAAAAAAAAAAAAAAGTCTTTCAGGGGCAGGAGCAGGAAGGTGGGGAGGAGACTCTAAGAATATTTTTAAATGAAGGGCACTAGGAATTTTTTGGTTGTTTTTTCCCAAGCATAAGAACCTTCTCTGTTGCCTGGTGTGTGGTATATTATGGCAAAATTTGAAGCTAGGAAGGCTAGGATTCCATCTCTATTCATTAGGTTATACAAATATCCCTCACTCTCCAAATTTGCCTGGCTCTGGGCCTAGGTGCAAGAGCCCAGAATGTGTCTAGAGAGTAAGTTTCAAAAGGGAGTGATTGCATGTAGTCTGGACCTGTTAGGTTCCTGAGTTTCAAATAGCCGGTAGGCACAGTTCAGACAAGGAGAACATACCAGCCCTCTGTTGAAAAGATTATCCAAGCCTGTTTGGTTCCTGAGTTTGAACAGTGAGAGTTCACAGCAGAGAAGGGCAAGTATTAGACTCTTCAAGCAGCAATGACATGAATTAAAGCATCTGTCTCCAATATTTTCATGTTAACCTTCCTCCTCCCTTTAGTACTCAGTAAATATCTATTCAATTAAATGAGCTGCTCATCCCCAAAATCAACTCTTCTGTGGGATGCTGAAGTTTCCCATTGAATCTTTTGAAATAACAACCTGTTCCCTGTTCATGTGTGAACGCATCCAAGACAATGGAGCGTGTGTGCTTAAAATAGATGTTATGGAGGGTTAACTTGAAATGTCTGTGGCTTACTCTTAAATGTGAAAATGTACCCTGGGAGGGAAGAGTAAGAAAGTGTCCTCGAGTGTCGGAATTTTGCCTTTGATCTTGGACGGCTAATTTTTGTGTTCTCTCTCTTTCCCTCTTTCCCCTGATACTAGCCCGGTTGGGAAGAAAGAATTCACTTGGATGGCCGAACATTTTATATTGATCATAGTAAGTAGGCGCTCTTATGGACACACAGGGATTGCAGGTAAAGGGAGGGGAAGGGTATTTCAAATATTAGAGTGAAAGCTTTGTTATTTTACTCTTTGTCTAGGCAGCCAGGTGTTATGTGGAGAGAATGGCACCAGAGACTCAGTGCCCTCGGACGGTACTGTGCCTTCCCCCCACGTTTGCTGTCAAGTAGCCCAGCAAGCTTTCACCCAATTTGATCTTGCGACCTATTAACTTTTTTTTTAATTTAAGAACTATTTTTTGGTTGATGACCCTTTGACTTTTGCGCTTTTAATAAATACACTCTGGTAATAGAAAATAAGATTAGAAGTGACAATTGAGTCCAAAATCTATGTGTGCGCAGTGCTTGACGCAGCCTACGTGTGTTTTAAACACCGCCTTCATGGTCTCAGGGCGAGGGGCCCATTCTGACTTATTTTCTATTCATAGCATGTTTCCTTGCACCCAACACACTAATATATATGCAGTTCTTTTCTTGAAAATGTGGTATATTTGCTGTAGACATTTGCTGCAGCACCTATGAAAAAATGTGTGGTTTCTCATTTCAACTAAAACTAATAAGGTTTGCTTTTAGCCAGCTTTTTTTTTCTTTCTTGAAGTGACATGTTCTTTATATTTACATATCCCTTACAACTTCTGAAAATGTATATGAAAAAGAAGTCTTTAAATAGATTCAAAGTTCAAATCATACATGCAGTTTGGTGGTGTTTTGCCCTTTGTTGGCATTTGCTTCATAAACAGTACGTCTACACCTGGTTTCCCCAGCTTCACGTTGTCTTAACTCATCACATTGATTAGTTAAGCACATTGATGAGCCAATTGCTGGGAAGCTTGGCCGTGATGGGTCTTGTCACTATCTCTTAGTCTTTAGTGCCTCTCCCAGGTGTTATGAAGCGACCGAGTGCATCGTAGATGGACCTTCGCTTTCTGGCATGGGCACTGAGGGCTTATTATAAATTGAATTCAGCAAGAAGCCCAACAATTCAGAATCAAACCCAAAGTAGAAGTCCTTGCTGTATTTAGGGGTATGGGCTACCCTTTGGTTTAAATTAGATACGTCAGGGTATAGAGACCTAGTTTTTGTCTTTGACCAGTAAAAATACTATTTACTTTCCAGGATTTTATAGTGAGCATAAAATTGCTGCCATAAATGCTTTAAAATATGTGTTTTCTTTAATATACTATTTACCATTTTCTTAGCACAATCTGCTAAAAGAGTAGAAGGGTCATATCTCTTTTTTTACCATTAAAAACAAAAAACAGGTAGTCCCCCCCCCCGTTTTTTATACCTTAAATTTTAGTTTTCAAAGATAGGTACAAAAAATAATGATTTTATTAAAACAAGGTCTTATCTGGTAATTCAGCCTCAGTCTGCTACATACAGAATATTTCACACAACACTATGCCTGTGTCCTGGCTGGTGATCTTCAGGTGAACCTGAAAAAAACTTTATAAATGTTCCTAATGTACTGTGAGGACCCCAAAACAAAAGAAACTATTGCAAACAGCCATCCTAATGTACATTAGAAATAATAAAAATCATGTTCTAGTGGCATGTATAGAACTAGTACATAGAACTAGTAAAATAGGTAGTAGATGCTTTGGAAATCAGTAAAGTTGGTTCATGGAAGGTCTGTGGTGACAGTGTTAGGAAGTTGATGTCCTTGGTCAGAAAGGGGAAAGAATTTGCCCCAAGAAGCAGCAGCACCTGCAGCCTCAGGCTTTCCTCCCTCCTGTGTGCTGGGAGGCAGAGAGGGTAGTTACTTGATAAATGCCTGGGCAGTTCCTTAATCCTAATCAGTCCACCAGTCCTCTAAGCACTACATTCCTCATCTTTCTTGCCAGAACAGAGAGCACATGGGAGGCCTCTCTTTCCTGAGATTACAGTTTGCCTTTGCTTAACCATACTGAAAGGTTCTCTTAACCTTTAGTGTATATAAGTTAGGCCAGAAACAGTGTAAGAAAAAGGTCTGTTTATGAGAACCTCATTAGCCTTTAATACAACATTTCTGCTATTTCTCCTAATTTGTCAAGGTTTACTCAATGGAAAGTGATAAAGGGGTACCTAGGAATGAAACAGAATTCAATTCGTATCCCCTTTCCCCAAAATACAGTTTATGTAAAGTACAGAAAAACCTCTCTTTTTAAGAGGTTTATCAACCTGATAGGTATGCCCCAAAATGGGTTAAATTACCTGGTGGTAACATTTAGGGATTTCCTTACCTTCCAAATGAACTTCTCTTTCTAAACAGTTTTCCCGCATCTGATTTCTAGCAAAACTTCAGCATCTCATTTTGCTGTTACAGGACAGAAACCAGGCCATCCTTACATATGCCATTTACTAGGAAAGCAATCACCTTGTGAGTCATTCAGAGCCATCCTTTCTTCCACCGTCTCTGGGACAGGTGACTGCACTCTGAATGGCAAGGACAGCTGTGCACTTCTCTTGTAAATAATTAGGTTATTTATTTTCTGCTTCATAATTTCTTGAGACGTTAGACAGTTTTAAGATTAATTTCACCAACTTAAAGATTTAATTTCAGAAGAGATAATGCTCAGTATGAATCTTCTTTTTAGATACCTTGATTTATTTGGTTGACGTTTATCGAATAGCTCCTGTGTCTCAAGCCCGGTGCAAAAGGTTAAGGCAAGGTCTTGAATTGAATCTCTGCCTCTCTTAGGAATTGTGTAATTCCTCTTAAAGACTAGATATGCCCAGCAGCTGAGTAATTGGCCACAGGTATTGTCTATACAAAGCTAGAAGAGAAAATTAAATTCCAGTGATGCTGTAAAATCCTGTTTTGGTCTGTTCTGCCCACAGCCTTAGCAAACCAGTTAATAGCTAAATTGACTGAGTTTCTCATGCTTCTCCTTCATTCTTGCCCCTTTATTGGAAAAATGTCTCAAAGAAAAAAAGCAAGTTTAGATTTTAAAAGTCTAGGGGAAAAGTGGATAACCAACCATATATTCATATATGGACAGTACTTGGCCGCAAAATTGGTCTTCGTGCTAACCACACAGAAACTTATATAGTTCTGAGAGCTTAGGCAACTTTAAAGGAACTTTGTTTTTACCATCAGCTTCATTTGGTCATTAAAAAAATGTTAGGCTCCTGTTACATGCTAGGAAATGTGTTAAAAGGTGGATAGGAGGCTGCAGAGAGGAACAACACACAGTCCCTGTCCCTGAGGGACTTACGTTCTAGCAGGAGGTACCAGGGGGTATTTTAAGTGTTGGATTAGAGGAAGGGACACTTGTTAATGTAGAAGCAAAAGAGGCAAAGAGTGTACCTGCTTGCCAGGTGGCAGGCGCCAGGGGTGGGGGGAGCTGCAGGAGGACCTACGGAAAGGATCACTTTTCAGACAGATCCCAAATGATGAGTAAGGCTGGTCGGGCGCGCCCAGTGACAAGTGATTCCAGCAGGGAGAAGATGTGTAGGTGCGTGAAGCTGTGCAGGCGGGGCCACGCTGAGAAAGGCGGCAAGGTTGCCCGTGGCCAGAGCGCAGAGGAGGCGGGCATGGCACGCACGTGAAGTTCAAGGGGTTCTTCCAGATGTGGGAACTCGGTGCCTTCTGCAGGCAGGAGGGAGCTCCTGAGGGATTTTCCAGAGGAAGTGACAATGGTCAGATTTATTCTTTAGAAAGATCCTTTCGGCAGAGCTATGAAGGGAGCTTTGACCAGGGATAAGAGACTGAGGCCAGGGAAACCTGGAGAACGGTCCAGGGAAAAGGTGAGCGCTCAGAAGGAGGTGGGGACAGTTTAGTGACCACCAGAGGTAAATGACAAGGGAGGAGAAAGGATGTGTCAAGATTCTGGGTTTGAAAAGTGACTGGGTTGTGATGCTGTTCATCGGGAATACAGGATTTCATGAACAGTTTTGGTGTTGGAAGATGATGGGTTCGGCTTTGATAGCTGGGTTGAGGTACTATGGGGAATCCAGGTGCACATGTCAAGGGTGGAGCTTGAAGTTCAGGTGGACTGAAGATTTGGGAGATGTCATGTACAGGTAGTCATGAATTTATTTTCTGCTTTGATGATAATACCCAGCCCTTATGATTCTAGTCCAAGGCAGTTATTACTCGGCTCTGTTCATTTCCACATTTTGGTTTTCTTTCCAATTGTTCTTCATCACAGTAGCAACTTGTACTTTTCAAAATCTCCTGTTTTCAAGGTAAGGGACCCCCTCCAAACTTCTCTAGAACACTTGAAACATTTCACGTTGTCTTCCAGCACACACAAATCTAGAATCATCATGTACTTTGGTAACTTTATTTTAAAACTTTACCTCTGCTTTTATTAAAATAATTATAGTAGCAGACTCTGAAGAATTCCTGGTATTGGTCATTAAAACCAAATTTGTTAATTCTTCTTATCAGTTCACCGACAGAGTTTACAGGAAATAATTAGAAGCAGTATTTTTCTCAAATTTCCCATTTTTTAAAACCAGCTTAGATTTCCTAAAACTCCCGAAATATCCTCCCCATATCTCTCATGTGAATTCATCCCTGCCCCCACCACACACACACAGTAATTCATAAAGTTTTTAAAATTATGCACAGTCATAAATCCCAAGTGATGCAGGGTAGCTGTTGTGCGTTATCACCTACACCATTGAAGCAGTGGTGTAGGTGGCATTGAACAGTCTCGTTAGCACTGACTCTCTCGGAAGAAGGAAAACCACTTCTCACCAACTTGGCCAAAAGGGAAGCCTTTCTCTGGATTCTTCCTCTGCAGTTTCTAATTCTCATTTTTTTGGACTGCCTTACTTATTAGCTGCTTTCAGTGTTGTGTGCATATGAGTAACACATGTAATGGATTATTCATTTATTCAGTGTAGGACTCTTAATTGAAAGCAGTTTTTTTTTCAAGACCACAAGCACAGACAAAAGTATCTGAAATGAGAAAAAATTCATGTGTGTTTGTTAACTTTTGGCCGACTAAGACTTTTTGTGCCTTTTTTCAATTAAATGAAAATCAAGATCAACTTATAAATCCTTGAAAAAACAGGGGTTTATAATTGAAACTTCAGCAGATTGCTTGCCAAAAACAGTGTAAATAGATGGTTTTACTTTAGTTGTGCATTTTTGATTGTTTTTAACTAAACATTATGTAGGAGGTTTGCCATATAGACTATCGTTACCTTCTAACTCTGAAATACTAAGTTACTATCTTTGGGGGCCAGGTTGGGGGACTAGACAGCTTTTGAAAAACCCAGAAGTAATTCTAAAACATTTTTGACGTAGAATAGATTTGAACTAATATGCTGATTTTTTTTTTTTTTTAATGTTAATTTTCAGATAGCAAAATAACTCAGTGGGAAGACCCAAGACTGCAGAACCCAGCTATTACTGGCCCGGTCAGTATTCTCAAGTTCTGAATCTTCAGTGTAATATTTTGGTTGTGTCAAACACGCATTTTTTGTATATTACTGCTCACCTTGGTGTAATTGAGTAGCTTAACGTTACTCCCGTCTCCTCCCGATGGGAATTTCTGGGTGAGGCACGGCTGCATTTGCCTTTCACCTGGCTGTCGTTATAACGGAAAAGAAAATGGTGTGATCATGGTAGTTAAACTAAACATTTTCTTTTCTCCATTATAAAAGGGAGGATTATAAGTGTAACAATCAGCCCTGGCCGGTGTGGCTCAGTTGGTTGGAGCGTCGTCCTGTACACCGAAAGGTTGTGGGTTCGATCCCCGGTGGGGGTGCGTACGGGAAGCAACCGATCGATGTTTCTGTCTGTCTCTCTGTCTCTGTCTCTCTCTCCTCTCTCCCTTCCCCTCTCTCTCAAAATCAGTAAAACTTATCCTCAGGTGAGGATTAATATAAATAAATACTAAATATTGGAGAAATAATAATAAACTCGAAGTGAAACAATCCAATTGTCCTCTCTTCCTTTCTCTGTGAGGCAGAGCCCGCCCTGTGCTTGCAGTTTGTCGCTTCGAGGCCAAGGGCGCCTGGTGCCTGCTGACAAACCTAAGCTGTCTCTGCATCTCTTCCAGCGCTGAAACTCTAAAGGTTTCGGGAGGTTGTCGCTAACCTCTGGAGCTGGCGGATAAGATAAGACTCTTTCTTTATCTCCGCTGACCCACTCACTTTCTCATAGCCCCTCCGCGTGCCAGGTGGGCAAGAACCGGTTGCCTTAGGCATGGTGCCGCCCCCTAAAGGAAGGGGGAGAGCCCGGGCCGGCGGGCGGCGCAGCGCGGACGCTTGGCCTCCGGTCGGGCGGGTTTGTAGCAGGGGCCGCCTCCGCTCCTCGCTCCTCGGGGAAGGCACCCGGGAAGGCACCCGCACCCCTTGTCGGCGGGTGTGCGAGTGCCAGGAGGTGATGTGGAATTGCAGGGAAGACACTGGGATCGCAGAAGATTGCAGATGTGGGATTCTTTTAAAACCTGGAGGAGCAAAAGGAAGTTACGTTTATTATATTGAGCGCTGAGCTAAGAGGCCAGTGGGTACATTTGAAATACTGATTCCATGGCTTTAATCTCATTCAGTTCAAATTGTGGTTTGAAGTATCAAGGTAAGTCCGCTTGAAAACTTCAATGGCATTGCAACGCAAGTGCACCTCGATCCCCGCCATCCCGTCAGTTCCCTGTCGGGCCTGCTCATTCGATCTGTTCCGCTGCTTCGCTGCAGTGGACAGCGTGCCCGGTGGTACCGGGCTTCAAACAGTCAGTTACTCGCTCGTTCTCCATGTAGCGTAGTGAACGCCTGCCACCCCACCATGGCTTTCATTTTTATTTATTCGCAGCCACAATGAGTTGTTAGAATAGCACTTTCTCTTCTGCATCATGAGAAGCGGGTAAAGCCAAGAAACAAACCTGTTTTCAACTGGCAGAGGACTTTTCACTTGCTATTTCTCAATCTTTTTCAAAGCCTTTTTATGGTTTATTGATCATCTACAAGCACCTAGTCTAATTACTGTTGAAAATTGTTTAGCATCATAAATCCAGGCACATTTGCCCCCAAGAAAGATTTCTATTTCCTTGTTTTCTTAAAGAGCTTGATTTACTCTTATTATTATTAGTGTTATTTCTTTTACTAAAAGTATGTTTATTTAGGTAATTATCAACAGTATAGACATCTGGCCTTTGTTGTCATTTAGTTCTTAATATTTGGTAATTTTCATATGATTTTTCTCCATGGCTTAGAAGTTATTTAGAATGTGCTTTTTACTTTCTAAGACTGTGGGAGAATTTTTGCCTATCTGTTTCTTATTGATTTCTAATTTTATTGCATTATGGTCAGAGAATATTGAATATGGAGTATTGATTATCAGATATTTGAAACTTCTTTGGAGGCTTGGTCATGTTTTGTAAGTGTTCTTTTGTGTTTGAAAAGAATGTGTATTCTGTCTTCCTTGGGTATAGAAGAGTTTCTTATATGTATACCATTAGATCAAGCCTGTGGCATTGTTCAAATTATCATTTCCATTTCTACTTTTTTCCTGGCTGTCTTATCTAACCAAGATAGCTTGTCAAACTCTCACAGTGACTGGTTTTGTCAATCATTACATTCATTTTCTCTCCGTTAGCATCTGCCTAGGACATCTTTTCTATCTATTGCTATGTTTTTTTTCTTTTCTTACATTCTATTAGGTTGATAGAGTAGTCTTTATTTTCTCTCATTTTTTATACTTGCTTGGAATTTGTATTTTCTATTTCTGTTCTCTTAGTGCTCACATTAAAATTTTTAACCAACATACTTGACATAATGTCAAAATTAATCACTCTCTACTCTCCTCCTGGATAATATAGGACTTTAGTGAAGGTTAGTGCACCATTCTTCCTACTCCCATTTTCCATTGTTCAGTGGAGTTTTAAAACTTCCTCGTCTTTAGCCCTGACTGGGTGACTCAGTTGGTTGGGGTGTCATCTCATACACCGAAAGGTTGCCTGTTCGATTCCCAGTAAGGGCACACACCTAGGTTGTAGGTTCGATCCTCAGTCAGGGTGCATGTGTGAGACAGTGAATCGATCTTTCTCTTTCTCTCGGCCCCCCCCACCCTTTCTCCTCCTCTCCCTCTCCCTCCCTCCTTCCCTTCCTCTCTAAAAATCTGTAGAAATGTATACTCGGGTGAAGATTAAAAAAAAACTACCTTGTCTTTAAACTTTCCAAATCATGATTAGTATTTTATCTTTTTAATAGTCAATGCTTCCCTAATTTTATGTAGACGTAAACAGATTTCTTTGCCCATCACTGATTGTTGCATCCTCTTTTTTCTAGGTTAGATTTTCTTTTTTTTCTTCTTTTTTTTAAATATATCTTTATTGATTTCCGAGAGAGGAAGGGAGAGGGTAAGAGAGAGGCAGAAACATCAATGACAAGAGAGTCATTGATTGGCTGCAGCCCGCAACCCGGGCATGTGCCCTGACCGGGAATCGAACCCTGATCGCCTGGATCCTAGGTCGACGCTCAACAGCTGAGCCACGCCCGGCCGGGCTAGGTTAGATTTTCTTAATGATGTATAACCTCTAGTGCATAGCTCTCAAAGTATGGTCTACAGATCAGGAGCATCAGTGTTATCCAGAAACTTGTTCAAGAGACAGATTTGGGGCCCCACCCAAGACCTACTGAAAACCAGCAAATTTGGGAATGGGCCAGCTATCCTTGTCATAACAAACCCTTCCAGGGATTCTGATGTTCCCTGAAGTTAGAGAACCTCTGCTCTAGCAGCAATTTCAGTGGGAGCCAAAGTGGTGAACTCGCTTAGTCTGAGAGGACTTATTTGGACCTTTCTGTGAAATGATAGTTTAGCTCAGTATAGAATTCTTGGTTAACAATTATTTTTCTTCAGTACTTTAAAGATATTCTTTCATGTTTTCTGGCCTTCTTAACTGATGAGAAGTTTGTTGTCAAATCTAATTATCTTTTTTTATGGGTAATGCTTTTCTCTGGTGATTTTGAATTTTTCTCTGTGTCTTTGATGTTCTGCAATTTTACTGTATCATAAGTATGGGTTTTTAAATTTTTATTCTGCTTTGGACTCATTGTGATTCTTTAGTATGGGACCATGTCTTTTCTCCATTCTGGAAAATTCTCAGCAGTTATTTCTTCACATGTCGTGTCTTTCCTACTCTTTCTAAATATCTGTATCAGTAACTATTGGGTAATTGGTTCATTTTCACAACTATCTCCCTTATGTCTTAGCCTTCTTATTTCTACCTCTCTTACGTTGCTGCATATAGTGGGCTCAGCTCTTCCAGTTCTTTCTTAAGCTTTTTATGTAATCTACTCTTTATCAGTTTATTTTGTCTATTATTTCAGTGACTGTGTTTAATTGCTCAGAGTTCTATTTGCTCTTTTTAAATTTGCTTGGTCTTTTTAGCTATTTTTCTGCCATGTTCTTTCCTTTTATTTATTTATTTATTTATACTTCCAACTTTTTAATCATTCTTAAAATAGCCTCTTTTATAGGCTTTTTCAGATTATCCTCTTATCTTTGGTCCCAGGAACATAAAATATCCCCACTTGTTATATCTGTAGACTCTCCTTAATGGTAGTTTATTACCTTGTTCAGTTTATAATTTGTGTGTGTGTTCATCTTCATTTTTTTTTCACATGGGGCTTTTATAAGTTCTGACCTGTATTTTCTGTTAACTACTGAGCTTGGGTTCATTCACCCCCAATTACCATAACTATGGATTTCATACCCACTTTGGTGTAGCCTTGGAGTATGAATTTATTACAGGTCTGTTTCTTTTTCTTTTTCTTCCACTTATGGTCCTGGACAGAAGGTAAGCTTCCTTGCAACTTTCCTGGGCCAGTGGGTAGAGTTTCTTGTCCCCTTTTCAGATGTAAGTTTTGAGCAGGGAGCTCTGTTCCGGCTCCCTGGGTCCTACAGACTGTCGGCCAAGTTCTGTGCCCCCACATGAGGATTAAAACCCAAAGCCAAACACCTATGTCTAGGTCCAGTGCCCTTATTTCTCTATTTTGAGTCTTTCTGTTTATCTGGTACCTAGAGTTTCTCTTTTTCCCATGTTTTAAAAATATGTGTTGGGGGGAGGGGACCCTTTCTGTGTCAGCTTAGCACACATCACTGTATGTCAGTACACTGTCTGTATAACACATGTCGCCATTGAAAACATTTGTAAAGTGCTCCCCATGCTTGCTGCTCTGATGAGTACTATCTCATGCTTGTGTCACAGTGTACTTTTCTGAGAACTTTATAATCAGCTGCTTTGACACTCTCAGCAATCCCCTCTGGAAGGTAGGGAAGATGTTGTTATTTCCAATTTGTCAGAAGACCAGAAAGCTAATAGTGTTGCCAAAACCTCCAGCAAATGTCAGTAGCCCCGGGTGGGCTAGCCTCACCAATGTCCCTATGCCAGACATGAGCCCTGCTCCCCAGAGAGCGCCCATGTCAACTGGACAGGAATGACATGGAAACATCTAGAACCATCTTACTCAATAAGTCAGGTTTTCATTCTGCTCAAAAAAGAAAGCATACATGATGCAGAGCAAACGCGCTTTGGCAACAGACACGTAGTACAAGTTAAATAATATGTAAGAAAATAAGATGTCAGATTTTCAAGAGAGAATAAATAATTTGGCCAAAACAAGAAATACCCAACACACGTAATTCTGTTCGGAGGCTGCACGTAGGGCATCTTTGTCCCGTTGTAGCGTTGGAATCTGTTTAGGAGGAGCCTTTGCAAACCTACTCTGGCTCCTCCATTGTACGAACTGCCTCTGGGTGGAGGACAATGACTTCTCAGCGTTCATGCGTCATTCCTCCCGAAAAGAAAGGTCAGAAGTGTCTCTGCATCTTGTTTCCACCCCATGCGGTCAGCACCTACCGCGTTGTAAGTCAGACAAGGGAATGGATATCTGCAGGCTGGGGGCAGCGTTTTGCAATAAATTCCGTGGGAAATTTGTCATTTAAGACTCCTGAACTCCACAGGGATGAATGTTTAAGCCTTTTCTCAACATTTTCAGGGAGGAGACTAAAACAAATAATTGCTGGGAATCAGATTTTTGGAAATGGAAGGGCCTTAAAGTTCATCTAGTGCCATCCTTCTGCTTAACTGGGAATTAATGCCATCAAGGAGAGATGGTCACAGAGCTAGCTGGCAGGAGAGTCTATTCTAGAAGTTGGGTTTTCTAAAGCTGCCATGAGATAATGAAAGGATATAAATTTTTTTAGGTTAATTTCCTTCTATCACAGTTAATCATAGAACATCAACCAAACACTTGCCTTCTCAAGGATTTGCACCCACTGTCTCTGTCAAAATTTGTGCCCTCCTGTCACTGGTTTCTGCTCAGGTGTCCCTTTCTCAGAACTGCCTTCCTTGACCACCTCATATAAAATAGCCTCCCAGGAACTCTGTTATTTTTTTCTCATAGCGTTTACCACAACTTATTCATTTATTTCTTGTTACCTGTTGCTCACAATAGCTTGTGGGCTCCAGGAGAGAAGAGGGAAAGAAGTCTTCGGTTAATGTACCATTATTTCCCTAGCACCTAAAATGCCTGGCACAGACTAGCTGCTCAAGAAATATCTGTTGAATGAATCGGCAAATGAACCACCAAAGAAAACAAGTAAACTAGATAGAAAGTCTTAGTTTGTTATGAGACATATATTGGTACAGTAAAAGACATGACAGTGTATTTAGTGAATTATGTCAGAACATGTATCCTTTACCTTGTACTGGTGGTTGTCCAGATATTGACAAAATCTCTACCTTCTCTAGAATAAGAATTCGTACACGATTTTTTCAGACTAAACACTGTCCAGAATAGACATGATATGTGTTCAGTGGAAAAGCAAATGAGTGGATTGAAGACTAAGACCATAAGTAGTATAAATTGTCTTAAAATATCAATATAATGTCTTTATTGCTCTTGATTTACAAAGGGAAACACTCACATGACCAGTGTTTGCTATGAGTGGTTATATATGTTTTTGTTTTGGCTGAGTTATTTGTGTGATTGTCTTAAAAACAGTATGAAGGAGGGAGGCTTATGTTTTCATTTCTCCTTCTCTGGTCAGGAGTAAGCAAGGTAAAGGTAGAAGGTTTGGAGTCTGGAGACACTTTTCTAAGGATCAGTATATTTTATTAGCCCACAATGATATCAGCAGAATTATTCTTGCCTGAATGCACACTGTTTGTCAAAAAGCAGTGAGTCATTCCTTCTGAGTATGAGGCTGCCACAGTTATGTCCGTGTATATGCAAAAGCCGGCCCTTTCTGCTTCATTTTAAAAAAAAAAAGGGGGGGGGGCTTTTCAATAGCCTGAAGTCAAGGTTCTGGCTGTTGTAAGCTACTTTATAACACAGCAAGGAGAGAGTATTTAAATTTAAAATGTTATTACTTTGCCTAAAGAGATTCCAGAACTTCTGAGTGATGATAGTTGGCTGAGTTACCGAGCTCACTCACTGTTTCATAGACAAGGCAGTAAGGTGTAAAGGAACCCTCACCAAGACTACTTACTAAATAGTAAGGGGCAAACCTCCTGACTCCCAAACGGGGCACTTTTCCAGAGTGCTGTCTACCTGGTCTTACAGCCCTTGATAAGAAAATCAGTCCAGTTGCCTTTCTGCTCATTTTATTTCCTCCTAAAGATTTTTAAAAGCAGGATTAGTCTTTTCAAGATGACAATATAGGTCACTTTGGGTTGTATGTTAAAGTGTCATAGCCAATAATTCCTATCTCAAGACAGAAAAAAGAAAAATAAAGATTACACCCTGACNAAAGTGTCATAGCCAGTAATTCCTATCTCAAGACAGAAAAAAGAAAAATAAAGATTACACCCTGACTCATATTCAGACAAGAGTCACATTGGAAAGTGTGTTTTATGCAGCATATCCCTAAATGACTTCTTGAATATCAACATAATTGTTTCCAGGGGTGAAAGCCCTACTCAATGCTGATTTGCCTTAATCATTTCTAGAACTTTCCCACGTGCTATGTAGACATGTTAATCTCATTGATAATATGGAAAATGAGAATTTTAAGGTGTATGATTCATGAAGTTCTCTGAATGTTGGCTCAGTTTACATAAAATTTCTAGTATGTTGCTTATATTTATAAATTTATCTTCTAGGCGGTTCCTTACTCCAGAGAATTTAAGCAGAAATATGACTACTTTAGGAAGAAATTAAAGAAACCTGTGAGTAACATGTCTTCCAAAAATGCTGTTTTAGTCCTTTGTAAGTTACCGGAGTTACTTCAGTGCGGACGACCTTTTTGTTACTTCCTGTGTGAACTAAAAATATTGCCTCCCTTTTTCCACTGCACTTTGATCCACCTGGATCTTCCATCTGAATTTTCTTTTTAACAGAAATGGTAAGTGAAGATTGACTAGTATTACATATCGAATCACCTGAAGGGTAATTTTTTATGTAATACATAAAAAGATAGAAATATTTTTATGGGAAATAAAATAATTCAGGAGCTATTAAAAAAACTCAGAGAAGCCTATGCAATTACTTACAGTTATCCTATTTAATAAAACCTAGACCCTAGTTAGAAAAATGTTCAAGTCCTTCCCTTTGAATTCAGAAGTATCATTTTAATTATAAAGTTGGCATATTAAGACCAAGTGTAATTTTCAGGTGAAAATTCTCACAGGGAAACCCTATAAGATTGCTTCAAAACTGAGAAACCCCATAAGGTTTTTACAGGCAGTGCTTTAAATTGCAGTATTTTCTACTGACACATCGCCCAGATTTTTCAACATGAGGTCTTCTGTTTTACTGTGTGATTCCACTTGTGGGATACAGGTCCTACCAGTTTTCTCCTTCCTTTATGATTCACTGTTTGTTTGGGGTTTGGGGGTTTGTCTTGTTTTGTTTGGCGTTTTTGTGTTTCTCGGCTTCTTCCTGTTGGGGAAAGAATGTCGGCCCCACTCAGATTCCCGCTGTTCGCCTGTGCTCACGCTCTCCTGCTCCGCTCCTTAGTTGGGGCCTCACTTTCTGGGCACCTGCTGCGGGTGAGGCACCGGGGACAGAGNCCCCGCAGTTCGCCTGTGCTCACGCTCTCCTGCTCCGCTCCTTCAGTGGGGGCCTCACTTTCTGGGCACCTGCTGCGGGTGAGGCACCGGGGACAGAGATGCGTGAGAGACCGGCTCTGCCTCGGGAGCTCGCACTTAGGGATTCTGTCCTTCCTCCCAACATCCAGATTCACCTAGCTCTTGGATGACTACTTTTGAAATGACTCGAATTTGAACACATACAATCCCCACAAAGTTTCTTCGTGAGTCACCTGCATTACCCCAGTCCTACATGACAACTTTGTGGATTTCACTGTCTCACTCTGTGTGGCACTTGCACTGACTGCACATCCCTTTTTATGGCAAGGCTGCCCCCATCCTCATTTTTCCAGGGAGCAGTTACAACTTGTCAAGCGCTTTTTAAAATTTTCATATTTATTAACTGTGGCCTTTGGGCTGCTTTCCCACAAGTTGGCATGATAACCAGGGTCCCACTCCCCATGGCAGCAGAATCCGCTTGTGGGCATCATGGGCCACAACTACCAGCTGGAACCCCCACTGGAGTTGAGAAAGCTCCCATCCTGGCCAGGTGGGGACTGTTGTGGGTTTCGATTACCTGGACTAAGTCGCTTTCTCTGACAGAAACAGAATATGGAGTTGACCATATTTCAGTTGCTAGAGGGTGGACGAGCGCCCCACGATTCTTCATAAACGGGGGAGAGGGTGACTGCTCAGCAGAGCTCCTTCTGCAGCACGTGGTGCCAGCTCGGCCTGGCAGCTGCCGGCGGCTGCTCTGCCTCAGCCCAGCAGTGGAGCTTTCTGTCTGTGTGAAGGAAACTCCGTAAAGGAGGGAAGCTCAGTTGCAACCATTCATCCCTGCTTCTTTATTTGAATACTGGCATCATTGCTGTTCTTTGAAGGAAGGTGCATATTTTCTGTTTGATTATATGCTTTTTTTCTTTTTCTTTTGTGTAGGCTGATATTCCAAATAGGTTTGAAATGAAACTTCACAGAAATAACATTTTTGAAGAGTCCTATCGGCGAATCATGTCTGTGAAAAGACCAGATGTCCTAAAAGCTAGACTGTGGATTGAATTTGAATCAGAGAAAGGTCTTGACTATGGGGGTGTGGCCAGAGAATGGTTCTTCTTACTGTCCAAAGAGATGTTCAATCCCTACTATGGTCTCTTCGAGTACTCTGCCACGTAAGTATATGGAGTGAATTCAGAACGTGCCCACAATATAACAGTTTTATTCTTAATAATTCCAGCTTAAAGAAAGAGTAAGCGGCTCACTCATTTGAAATGAATTAACACTGCTGATTTCAGTCCCCACCCTCCACCCTGTCCACCGCCAGCACACACATACCCCTTACACGTCTAGAACAGGTTCTGACTCTACCTGGTGAAATAATGCAGTCTGTGAACATTTAGAAATGATTTTTCTTTTGTCTCTTGGGCTCACTTAATTGAAATGGAAAATGTGCTGAGTACTTATGGTAAGGAACAGGAGGCAGTTTTCATTTGTAATGTTATGTTAATTCAGGAGAATTTGTCAAGCGTCAGAATTCAGGAAGTCATCGTAGTCTCATGGACAAAAATAGTTTCTGAAGGCACACTAGTTAGAGGCAGATTGTGATGACTTTGAGGAGAATCCATCCTGAGGATCCCGAGGACGGCGCTCTGGTCCCGTAAGGGAAGCGCCAGACTCCCCGAGTTAGGGTTTCATCTTGCCAGGCCCGGAAACTAAGATGGAACAGCTTTCCCAGGACTCCAGCTGCTTCCAAGGCCAACCGTTCCCCCTCCAGGCGGTGGGCCTGAGTACCCCGGAGAATAGCTGTTGGCCCTGCTCAGCTCTGAGGCACAAGGCCGCCTCTGCTGTGAGGAACGAGGGTCCCCCGCATCTCCCACCTGTCTCCTGGGGCCCTGTTGGGAGGCAGCTCAGGATCCTGCCCAGTTACTCTAGCCAAGCATCGCCCAGCTTGCTTGCTGTTATTGTTGTCTGTTGTCCCATGAGGTCCCATGAGGAGGCTCGCTGTGTAAAATTGATCAAAATCACCCAGGTGGCAGGCAGGCTGGGGGGCAGGGGCCTCACCTGTCCCCTGCAGTCCTGAAAGAATCTGTCTATGGAGCCCAATTGGAAAACCACCGATTCTCATGATTTTGAGACCAACAACAGGCATGTAGACATTTCTGTGGTTTAAGCTAAGACAGCCATATGCTGTTACCAATGCCCTGGGGGCTTTCAGGGCAGCGAGGTGGTCAGGCCAAACATTGGGCCAGAGGGAAAATCTTACTCTCCAAACCAAAGGCCTGTCAAAGGAACGAAACCCCCTCCTCCTCGGAGGACCCGAAGTCCTCACGTCATCGCCATCCATGCGCAGTCCCTTTGTTATATGGCTTTTCGCACCTTCCCAAGATACTTGGCCAAACCATATGAAATGGACAATTTTGTCATCAAAAATAGTCAAATATCAACACTTTCTTACAGTTTAACTTACAAAGGGCATATGCTCCAGCTCCATGGGCCCTCAGTGGTTCGTGACAGAAAGAGGCTAACTAAACGCTAAGTCACCTTCTCTGGCTCCTGCTACTTTCCCCGTCAGGAGCAGAATGTCTGTGAAAAAGCTTTAACACTGTACGAGCTAACGACAAGGGGCAAAGGAAAATGCAGATTCTTGGCGTTTCTTCTTTAAAAATATGATTGGGCTTTTTTCTCTCTTCTTCCCCCAAGGGACAACTACACCCTTCAGATCAATCCCAATTCAGGCCTTTGTAATGAAGACCATTTGTCCTACTTCACTTTTATTGGAAGAGTGGCTGGTCTGGCAGTATTTCATGGGAAACTTTTAGATGGTAAGTTATTAAAAAGTCTTGAAATCATAAAAATAGGACAGAGCTCTTTGTGGTTGCTTATTAGGTGACTCATCTTTCCCATCATAGATGTTAAGCAGAAGCTCCACTGGTTCTGTATAATTCAATCAATTATTTTTATGTTTTGCCCATAATGGAGGTGTTTTTCCCCGGTGTCATCTTAATTTGAGCAGTGACAGTAGTGTCTACACACAGTTTAAATTTTTTTTTACAAAAGAAACAAGTGTGAAGCACAGAACATTCTGTGATTGTGTGTTTTCTGCTTTTAAGAACAACTTCGTTTTTTTAAGCAAAAGCTAGATTTGGTGACAGATGGAAAAGCTAATTGGAAAGTTAACCACAATGATCTGATTCATCCAATATCCTGCCATTGTTTCAAATTATTTCATTTGAATGTAAAGAGACTATAAATTATTATTTTTATTTGAATGTGGAGAGACTGTCAATAATTTCAAAGCAATGTTATAACTCAGGTAAGACTTTGACCTTGGAACCGCTGCTACTCGTTTAGCAGGAAATAATCTCATTCTTAGAGTATTTAAGCAATGGAAGAATTTCGGGGTACCTTGGAAGTTAGAAGTCAGGACACACATCCCTCCGGCTATATCTATAGGCTTATAATAGATACTTCTTATGGATTTGGTCATTTCCAAAGTACTGCCCTTGAGAGGACACTATAGAAATCATTGAGGAAGGAGAAACATATTTTTGAAGGATTTCAGGGTGAAATGGTTGAGCATGGAAGACAGAGGAAGATTTGAGGTTGACATTACAGTCACTGTAGAGAGTTCCAGGGAAATGATGTTAACTGCATCTGCGGAACCTTACCTACCCCAATAAATAATTGATGTACCCTTTGTACTTTATCTTTTAATACAGGGTGTCCCCCAAAAATGTATACATACTTTGAATGATTATAAACTCAGTGTTTATTAACATACAGTTCATTTTCAAAATTTAAAAGAATCTAGAGAAAAGAATAATTTTTTTGTCAATGCCTGTTTTCAAACTGATGACCGTTCTGGTCCAGGCCTGCTGATAACTCGAAGCAGTGGAATCGCAAACGTCAAGTATTTGTGTGCTTTCAATTCATCAGCTGTTCCCAGAGTTTGTGCCGTAAGCTTTATCTTTTATGTTTTCCTAATAAAAAAAAGCCTAGTGGCACTTTAGAATAAATTTTCTTTGTTTAAAGCTTAGTGTGGTTTCACCCGTTATTTCAAATCAGTTAAACCTGAAAAAGAGTGAAAATTAAGTGAGTTATCAGCTGTCAAAGTGTGCGTACGTTTTTTGGGACACCTTATATATTTTTACAGCTGATTTTGATCTTCTAATTTCAAAGTTTTATTTTTAGTTGGGGAAATAAGCCCTTTTTTTTTCCTTTCACAAGAAAGACATTACATTCACTTTTATATATATTATCTACGTCGCATGAGTGTATTTTAATTTGCTACATTGGAGTCGTGCTGTAGATTATTTCAGCTGCTCAAAGGCACTTCTCAGAAGGTCAGTCTGTGTACCTTCTGCCAAGTGAGAAGGCATTCTTAGTGGCTACGGGGAAATATAGAGAAATGTCAGATAGGATCCTGACCTCAGTGGACTTAGAATCTCGTGGCAAATAAAAAACAGAAGACTCACAGTGACAGAGTCCAAGCGGAAGGGCCACAGGGTCCTCTGAGGAGACGCTGATTTGGCTGGAGGGCCGGGAGCACGTTACCAGGTTTAGGCCACTTTGCCAGGGGGGTGGGCTTTGAGCTTGTAGAAGCTGGACTGCTGCAGAAGAGCAAGGACTGGCCAAGTCAGGGCTCTCGGACGGAGTATTGGAGAAAAGCAGGAACACATGGGGGGATCTGGGAGACTCCTGAAAAAGGTGCTAGCAGCATACGCCAGAACTGCAGAATTGAGGGCCAGAGTGCCCACAGGTGGGTGGGGTCAGCGGTGTCTTGTTCCTTAAAAATGCGGATGCCGCTGCCGGCGGAGCGCACGTGGCTCCCTCCTCTCCCCGAGCCCCGGAAGGCGGCTGAGCCAGTGCGGGTGGGAAACGCTGCGCAGCATTGGTGACTAATGGGGGGGCTGAGGTTCCAGCACCCCCAGTGGGGAGGCACGTGGTGCTCACTTGCCTGTGGGTTGGGGGCCCTGCGGGACACCTGTGTGACGGTGGGGTCGTCCTCACTGCCATTGCCTCACTCAGGCCTTCATCAGCCCTCCCCTGGAAGATTGCACAGCCTCCTGAGTGGTCTCCCTCATGTCCTTGCCCCCTTCCTGCTTTTTCTCCCCACTCCTGCCCCGGCAGTGATGCTGAAATGCAGCTGGAATTTCCACCTGGCCTTTCGGTGACTGCCCGTTGCTCGCACTCAGGCAGCAGCCCAAACTGTCCCGCACCCCACGCGGCCCCTTCCTGTCCCTGTGCTTCTGCCCCGACAGGCTCCTGGTGAGCCCCACTCTTGCCCCTCTCCTTGGAGTGCCCTCTGTCCTCTGTTCATGTACGTTCAAATCCTGCTGGGCCTTGAGGCTTGTTTGTCACCTCCAGGAGCCTTCTGAACCCTTTCCGCTGTATCACCTCTAGTATAACTGCCCTCCTTACTAACCCTCCCACCCCCCAAAAAAACAGGCCCCTGTCTGCTTGGTCACAAGTTACTATAGAAGGTCTTTGATTGTTGTGTCCTGGCCTCTCATTCAAACTGAAGGCAGGTTCATCTTGTGTTTCGTTTCTGATGCACAGTTATGTCAGCGATTTGAAACTGATCCAGCTTTCACCCTATTTTAGGATTCTTCATTAGACCGTTTTACAAAATGATGCTGGGAAAGCAGATAACTCTAAATGACATGGAATCTGTGGTGAGTAAATACAGATCCCTCCCACTGGGTGTTTGGGCCACTCGTGCCTTACAGGAAGGCAGCTGTGACCATGTTGTCGTCACAGCGATTTTTATGGGTGTCGCCATTCAGTGTGGATAACAGGGAGCATTTAATTGTTTGAGAATTTAATTGCTCTCCCTAATTTTTCTAATAAGCAAATCACGGTCGTGTTAGCTAGAAACATGGTTCTTGGGTTGAATGCACTCAAACCTCACTTACCTCTGCTTACCCAGGACTGGTGTGACCAGATTAAATCCAAGGGTCACCTGGAGACCTCATCACAGCCCTCGTTTCCCATCAAAAACTGCTACTACTGACAGTTTAGAGATTCGTCTGCTATCCCTCTGTTTTCTGACCTCAAAAAATGGCAAGGGCATAGGCCACCATCGTAGATAAAGGGAAGAATATACAGTCGCTGTAGACTTGGAAGGGTGAGGGACCACTGCTTGTGGGGGGGACAGAATGGGTTAGAAAATGAGTGCTTAAGAAGTTTTCTAAAAAGTGACTTGGGTGTGCATGTGACTTTTAACTCATTTTGTCTAGGCTGAGCATTTTAGAGCTGAAAGGATTTTCTATAGAAACACAAACTGATGCTCTTTTCATAATCTACTTTTTGCTTCTGTTTTTTCTATTGACCTGTACCCCTACTATGGACCCTGAGCATGGGGGTTTGCCCAAGCCCCAGCCCACTCACAGAGGCCATCGAGAAGTGTCTTTGTCCATTAGAGCGTTTGCAGCTCCTCTCTCACATCCTGTCACTCGAGTCAGAAAGCGTCTGTTTCTCCTTGGCCTTGCTGTGATGTTGACCGTGTCCCTTGTGTGGTTGGGTCTATGAGCCCATATTCTCACTACTCACCATCACTGTCACTTTCTGCTCATCGCGTGTGTGAAAGGAGACGAGGGTGCTGACAATGAACTTGAGTCCACTCACTGCTTTTTCCATGGGAGGGCTGCTGGACACATCCACAGGACCGGTCTCAAATTTCCTTTCAGCTTTCACCTTTAACTTACTCACTTAGGCTTTTATTCTTGTATAATGGGGAAGCCAGGAAACAGACATGTCTCCTGAAGTCTAAGTTAATCCTGGACCGCAGGTTGACAGATGGGCACACGTTCTGATTTGCCTTCTCAGAGCCTGTTGGGTCCCAGCACTGGAGACCCTGAGAGAGAGGAGGCCAGGCCCTGTGGCTTGTGCCCTGGGTCCTCCCCTTTGCTTACCCTGGTTTTCAGAGAGCAGTAAAAGCACAGGAAGAGGCCTGGCCGGACGTGGCTCAGCGGTTGAGCAGCGACCTAGGATCCAGGCGATTGGGCTTCGATTCCCGGTCAGGGCACATGCCCGGGTTGCGGGCTCGATCCCCACTTGGGGGTGTGCAGGAGGCAGCCGATCAATGACGACTCTCATCACTGATGATTCTCTCTCTCTCCCTCTCCCTTCCTCTCTCTGAAATCAATAAAGATATATTAAAAAATAAAAAACAAAACCCTTAAAAAAAAAAGCACAAGAGGCGGAACTTAAAACCATTGATATTTAATTAGTTAGAATGTTCTCATCTTTCCTCTTGTCTTTTGATATTTTCGCTCTTAAAAGCTAGGAAGCACATTCATCTTACACGTTCAGTGTGTTTTTTTTGTTTGTTTTAAATATATCTTTATTGACTTCAGAGAGGGGAAGTGAGAGGNGTTTTTTTTTGTTTGTTTGTTTTAAATATATCTTTATTGACTTCAGAGAGGGGAAGTGAGAGGGAGAGGGAGAATGAGAGAGAAACATCAATGATGAGAGAGTCATTGATCGGCTGCCTCCTGCACGCCCCTGACTGGGAATCGAGCCCACAACCCGGGCATGTGCCCTGACCGGGAATCGAACCCGGATCACCTGGATCACATGTCGATGCTCAACCGCTGANACATGTCGATGCTCAACCACTGAGCCACGCCCGGCCGGGCACACGTTCAGTTTTATAACTTGGTGACCGCCACCCAGAGCAGCCTGCTTCCTCTACGCTTCACAGAGGACGGGATTCAACTACAAACCCCTGTTGCTACTAAAACATTTGTTTGTATTTTAATTTAAAGGGGAAGAATGGGTTTGGGGTGGAGCAGAAAACATTATGTTAGTGACTAATTCTTGAGCAACATGAATGGAATTACATTAGAAGAACTTAATAATTTAAAGTCGAACAAGTTTGTATTTTGGGGAAAAAAGCTTAGCTTTCATTTCTGTGTCACCCCTATAGGACAGTGAGTATTACAACTCCTTGAAATGGATCCTAGAGAACGACCCCACGGAACTGGACCTCATGTTCTGTATCGATGAAGAAAACTTCGGACAGGTACATACGGGGAGCCTCAGGAACTCCTCTCCAACTTTCAGAAAGTCTTTGCTTTTGCACAGGTTGTAACACAACTCTTCTGGACAATTAAAAATGACCACCAGGAGCTTTAGGTGTTAATCGTTACCTCATCGTGCCAGTACCTTATTGTTAGCCCAGGAAGCGAAGCCCCAATTCCAGCGAAGTTACAGAAATTTCAAGGCCTCTGGGCCTCACTGGGCACCTGCTTCTGATCTGAGGCAAATATGAACAGCCTTTGTGCCTTGGTTTTAGAATTTAGGTACTTCAAATACATGACCAGGAGTACGTGATGTTTGGGGGGCGTTGGGTTTTTTCTTCTGCTTAATGGTTCTGTTGTCATGATAAAAGTTGTCTTCTGGGGCCCAGCAGGCTCTCTACCATCCCTTCTTGCTTTGTGCCCTCACTGACCTTAAGGCTGGAGGTCAATGTCAAAGATAAAGTCACCTGCTTGGAATTTTCAACATCATCCTAAAGTTCTGCAGGATGTTTGTTTAAACCTGGAACCTCTGATTCATTTGTGATAACCTGTGATAACGATGCTCCTTGGGAAGTCTTGTCAAGGGATATCCAACCCTGGCACCTGTCCTCCTGATGCCGGAGAAATTAAGGGGCTAGACTTCCCAGACACGAGCGGGAATGAGGCTCTTACAATATCTTCAGAAAATGAATTTTCTGAGACTCGCACGAGAGGATGGAACGTAGAAGAAGGGTCTGTTTCTGTAAAGTTACATTTCTCAGGTTCCAAAGTCCCCTGCCCCTTAGGCCAGCCCTGGAAGAGGGGCAGCTGGGAGTTCAGTAGAGTCAGAAAGAGGGCCACCGTCCAGAGCTTCCATTCCATGTTGCAGCCAGGTGTGGTTCAGCATTTGGGCCAGATTAAAGTCCTTGTGTGGAGTCCAACATGGCCATGCGCCAGGTGGGCACAGCACTGCCCCCTGCAGCAGGAGTCCCAGGAGCCAGGCGCCCTGAGGCTAAGAAGGGAAAGGCAGAACTTCCTTTGTCCAGAAGTTTAAATATTTAGGTTTTGCGTGCTTGCAGTGGCCACCCCGTCCTGGCCAATTACCTGTTTCCAGGTGTGATCGGTAGGCAGTTAGCCTCCCCGGTCACTCAGACCTCACTGGGCAGGCCTCTAAATTGTCTTTGTCCAGCCCTTTCCCCCGTCAGTCAGCACAGAATAGACTTGGAGAATGTTAAATGCAGCCTTTTTGCAAAGCTGTGTAAATGACGTGCCTATACTATTGGTCTTCTCTTTCCTTTTAAATAATAACCAGGTTATTACAATGGTATCACTTCCACAAAAGCACGGATATTTCCCATCTCCCAGACCAGGTCTACATGGCCTTGAAAGTAATAAGATCATGGCGCCTATTTTAAAAGATTAGCATATGGAAAATGAATCCGATTGGTTCCTTATTGCTTCAGAGATTGTCAGGTTTACTCCACTGTTGGAAAATGCTGAGGGTCTCTGTCACGTCACAGTGCTGTGCTCGGTTTTACACGTGAAGTTGGAAAATCAGGTCGCTGCCCTCTTGGGTTCACAGTCTTGGAGAAAAGAAGCTGATGCCACTAGATAGAAAGGAATTCATGACAACGGGGGGTGAACATAGTTAAGCAAGAAAATGGTTACGTAGAGGTCACGGTTCCTTGTTAACATGCTTGAGCCCTCGCAGTGGGTGGGCGTGGGGGTCTGGTTTCCTTCCCGCTTGGTTGGGCGGGGTTCGTAGAACTTCAGGCACCGGAGATGAGAGAGACCTTGCGACTTAACGTGAGAGGTCAGAGTCTGTTAAAGATCTCATCGTGCTTCCCCGCTTTTCTTCTATATTGTGCTTCATGCCTGGGAATCTTCACAGACTAACGGCTACTGCTGTCCTCTGTGGGAGGCTTGCTTTGGGGCGGGGAGGGGGAGGTCTTTCCTGCAGCCCCCCCACCGCCACCCAGCAGCTGCCCCTCAGGTTACCGGTGGCCTCCCGGGGACTAAGCGCCCCCGAGCCTTAGGTTTTGTCTGCTGCTTTCCTCCACTGCATTTGCTGCTAACTGCTCCCTCTCCCCTGGAAGGGCCTGTGGTCACCGTATTCTCTTCCTCGGCTCTTGCCACTTTATTTTCCGTCTCCTTAAAGGACACGCTGCTTTTGCGGGCCCCCCAACGCAGATGTTCCCCAGCCAGCTGTCCTCTGCCCACGCCAGCTGATGGCCTTGCCCACACCTGTGGCTCCAACTACATCCACCTTTGTGCTGCTCACCACCGGGCTCCCCTCCAGCCCACACCTTTCTTCTAGTCTCCAAGATCCCCCTGGCCTGACCGCCTCCCTTCCCCTTCCCCCGAAAGCCCGCAGGCCCCCGAACCAAAGCCAGTTCCTCCTCCCAACCCCCACACCCACTCTGGTCTGATCTGCGGTGCCACCCTCCCCTCCAGGCGGAAACGGGGCTCATCTTGAATATTCCCTCTTTCTCATCCCGTCCAGTCTTCCGTGTCCAGCTGGTCACCCAGGCTCTGCTGGCTCCCTGGTCCCTGTGTTGCCCCCACTTCCAGTCCCTTCTCTGCTGCCCTCACCTGTCTGCTCTGTAGGTAATAGTTCTCAGAAGCAAACCTGAGCATGTCATTGCCTGTAGTGTAAACTGAACCTTCTTAGCATGGTTAGGACCCAGCACTGCCCACCCTGAGCCTTATCTTTCAGATCCCCCTTCCTCTCACCTTCACAGCCATAGTGTGCCTGGAACAGTGTCCCCAGAAATGCTTCCCTGCCATGTCACTGGCTGTTTCGTGCCCTCTCATTATCATTGTCTCTAAAAACAGTTCAAATTGCAATGACATCATTTTAAGCTTGGGCCTATTTAAGGGTCTTAACTGCTAAGTTTCAAAGGGTAACATAACACATGGGTAACCATCCGGGACCTATGTCTTCCTTTCATTTTTAACACATGGAGGGAGGGGTAGAAAGAAAGGACCAAGGAAGACTTACAATTAATCTTGTGTGTCAAATACAAATTTTAAAAAAGGCCTCTCTGTATATATACGTATAGAAAACCATGTAACTCAAAGTTCAGCAGACATTAACAATGCCAAAGGTGGGGGCAGATGATCTGGGNTAAAAAAGGCCTCTCTGTATATATACGTATAGAAAACCATGTAACTCACTTAAAGTTCAGCAGACATTAACAATGCCAAAGGTGGGGGCAGATGATCTGGGAAACCTTCCTTATCTATGGTGAAATGTACCGATTTCCACCTAATAAATGAAAACCAAACACAAGGTATTTGGATTTTTAAGTAGTTTCTAAAAAAGATTCTGATGATTATTATCGCTCATGTTAATTTTTCCTTAAAGACAGTTCTCAGATCTCTTCATTTAATGCTGTAGATTTTTCCGACTTTTGGGCTGAACCAGGTAGAGTGATGCAGTAATCAGAACAGACCCACAAGAGGAGGAAGCTAATGACCAGGCGCCCTATTTGTTAAAACACTGCCTCCCCTTTTTAGAGAGCTAACCTGATGCACAAGGAACTAATGCATCTGTTTTTCATGTAGGAAGAAAGTTAGAGTGAATTAAGCACCCACATACTGATGCATCTTCCATATTCAGTCCGTCGCCAAGCCCCGTTCATTTCAGCTCCCCAGTCTTTCTCAGATCCATCTCTTCTCCCTGTCTGTTCCACCAACACCCCAGCCTAAGCTGCCATCTTCTCTTACGGACCCCTAACTGATCTCTTCATATCCACCTTGGCCTCCCGTAAGGGCAAAACGGTCTTTTCAGAATGTGGACGTGCCCATGTCGTTCCTCTGACAGAAACATTCAGAGACTCCCCACTGCCCCTGAGGTAAAGACCCAGAGCCTTGTTTGCCCCATGGTGCTGCATGGGCTGGCCCGCCTGCTCGTCTCCAGTAAAGGTAGAGCTGCCCCTTACGCTTTCTGGGCCTGGTCCCAAGCTCTTTCTCGCCTCAGGGCCTTTGCTTACGCTGTTCCTTCTGTTGCGAGCACACTTTCTCCCCTCCTCAGATCAGACCCCAGCCCAAGTACTTCAGAGTATCTCCCATGTCTCCCTGTGGCATGTACCATGGGTGATGTGGCATTTATTTATATGACTGTGTTTAGCATCTGCCTTTCCCACCAGGCTCAGTCTTGGTGATGGCAGCACAGGGCATAGTGCCTGGTGTGGGATAGGCCCTCCAAATAGAGTTGTTGAGCCCACACTGGGCATCAGAGAGACGCCTGAGCAGACCTCTCACCTCTTTCAGCCTCGGCAGCACCGCTGGCTGGACAGTGCAGGTTGGAATAAAGGGGGAGCCCGCGTCTCTCTTGTGCCAGAAGATAAGGTCGTTTCTTTAGTGGAGTGAAGTTACCATGGATGTGACATGTCCGTCCATGCTCTCGGCCCTCCTCGGTGCTTTGAGCTGGGGAGTTTTTTGGGGTTTTTTTCATTCCACAGTTAGAAATATGAGACCATGAAGTGGTGGGAGCCGTTGCTTCATGTAATGAAGCTGCAGCTGTTACCATTATTTTGAGATTTGTTTTCTCCCTGGTGGGTGAGAATCTGGAGCTGCTGGTTTCTGGGACCATCTAGGAGTGTTTGAGCTGAACGCGTTTCAGCGTGTTTGAACGGCCGTCATATGCCAAGCAGAAAGAATAAATTGTACACCTGCGCTCGTGGGCCCACACCCACCAGGAAAAGGCCCCTTTTAGAGCTCAAATAAGTGGGAATTCTTGCTGCAAGCTCAGCAGAGCAGCTTCTGGCCTGGCTGGTTGGGAGAGAGGAGCTTGGAGTGTGGGCTTTTGAGCAGCTGTGTGGTAGGGAGGGGAAGAAAATGGGCAGCAGCCACGTGGCACATCCTTCAGTGGAGTGAGATTACCACGGATGTGACACGTCTGTCCATGCTCTTGGCCCTCCTCGGACTAGGCATGAGTTGGGCTCAGGCATATTCTCAGGTGGGGTGATAGCGCTCCGGGGGGCAAAAATGTCTCAGCCATTACAGTGGTTTGTGGCCCTTCCAAGGGCCACAGCATATACCACAGGGGGACCGTGGGTCTGTTTATTAAGATTTCGTGGGAGAAAAGGGATAATTGAGGGGTGATGTAAAAGAGCTCTTTAGGGGTATTAACGAGAAAAGGCTGAGGAACACTGGGTTGGGGAAGGGGAATGAGTGAAAAGGCAAGAACTGGAAACCGGAGGAGAGGGGAGAGGGACAGCAGTGTCCTGGCAGAAGCTGGAAGGAACCAGACCCGGAGCCTACTGTGGAGGTGGCTTCAGGAAGGGAGGAGGCCCTGGCTGCTCAGACCAGATCGAGGGAATGGACAGGGGGCCGCAGCAGGAGGGCGGCTGCCTCCTATGTGCTGCGAGAGCCTGGGGGGAGGGAGGCCCATCCCGCAGGGTTTGTGCAGCACCAAGAGCTGGCGAAGAGAGAGCCAAGCGAGACTCTGCCTATAGTCGACATGACCCAGTTTCTCAGCAAACTCTCAGATGTGTGGCCTAAGGCATCTTGGAAAGACCCTTGGGGATGTGTGTGAATCCTAGTGGAGCGGGCATGAGTAGAAAAAAGACCAGGAGGAATCCCACCAAAAGACTGATGTGGTTATCTCGGGGTAGGAGAGTTGTGGGTGGTATTTTTTCCCTTTTTCCCCTCAAATTTTCTATGAGAATAAACATTTTGCTTGTAAGATGGTCGGCCTCACCCTCCCTTCCCCCCCCGCTGGTCATTGCTTGGTACGCACTGGTTAAGCCCCGCTGGCCCAGAGCGCAGGAGAAGGCCGGGCCTCAGTGTCGGCTGCTTTGCTCTTTACAGTCAGGTAGATCCATCTCTTCAGCCGCACGTCTTAAGCTGCTTTCTTTGTTTAAGCCCCTGGGTTTTGCCTCTTTGAAAGAAATTCCACAAACTAACTTGCCTTTAATGATAACATCTTTAAATGTGTAACACCTTAACATCTTAAAACCTCGTTAGACAGTCTGTTTCCTGGAAAATGCTTCTGAATAAATTTTGCTTCTTTCATGGTAAGACATTATTGCTCAGCAGTACTATGCAGAATAACTTCATGGTGGTGACCGCTGTTTTGTCTTTGTAATTACAGACATATCAAGTGGACCTGAAGCCCAATGGGTCTGAAATAATGGTTACAAATGAAAACAAAAGGGAATATATTGAGTACGTATATGCACATTTACAAACTTTTATTGCATTGAACAGCATGTCGGGTTGCCACCCCCTGCCTTTTAAAAACAGTTTATACATATGGACGTATTTTCAACAATCGGAGCTCCTTTCTGGCGTAGGCTCGTAGGAAGTTGAGTTGTGGGGTAGAAAGTTTGACTTGTACCATGACTTCTGTGAGCTGCCATATAAAGGGTCCGCGGAAGGAGAAAGGAGTGTGCATTCTTGAGGAGTATGACAAAAGTCTTGGAGCAGGCGAATATCTAGTCTAAAATTAAGAGTTGCAACAACCAGCGGGGTGTAACTAGGAACAACCGAAGATAAACTTTTTCATCTCTCTCCTGGCCTCTTTTCCATAATGAAAATGTAGGGATATAGTGAAAATGGATAGGAAATTTTAGCACATGCAAACATAACAAATTGTCTGATATTTGTAGTTTTCTTAACTCAATCTCAGCCTCAACTGGAGGAACAAAATGTTGAGCTCTTTGGAAGTCCGGATATTAAGTAACCCTGGGGCATTTACACTGGGCAGGTCTTTCTCTGTTGGTTGGGCATGTTACATTGTCCTCTTTGGTATATGTGTATGCTTCAAGCATACGATTTCAGGATCTTCCAAGGATTGCCAGGTTGCCCTCACTAGCCCTGGCGCAGAGCCAAGGTCAGGGCAGCCGTGTTTGTCCCCAGGTCCTAGTTCCTGCTCATCTTGTGGGTTCCGGCCTTGGCCTGACCCCCCTTGTTTGCATTTAGTGCTCCTTTGCAACAAGCTGGGCTCCCTCCTTGCTTCTCAACATAATTGGTCAGGAGGACTTCATTTGGGGAATTGGCCCAGGGTCTTGGCATCTTTTAGCATGATTTGCAAAGAAAAACCTTGGATTGTTGGAGTCTTTACTTAGACACTCTAACAAAGCATGGACTGTCACCTAGCAGACCCTTCCCCACTCACAAGTTAAAAGCTTGCCAAGCTTAATAAAATAACTAGAAAGAAGACCCTGCCCTTCTTACCTGTTCACATTAATCGGCACACTTGTCTGAACGTGGACCATTTCTGCAAGCAGATCACACCCCACAGACACCATTGTCATTCAGAAAGTACAGGCTTTGAATAGATTTTAAAACACCCCACCCAGGTGACTCGGGTTGAAAGCCTGGGGATATTCAGACATTGTGAGATGCGTTGTGCCTCATTCCCTGCAGTGCATTCTTGGAGGTTTGGTGGGTGTGGGGTTGGGCAGAGTCTCAGCTATCTGCGAAGGAAAGGATGGTAGAAATCTCCATCTGCTCCCCGACACCCGCATTCCTCTGGTGCAAGGAGAGAGCCACTGGGCTGCGACTGCAGCTCGGCGCAGTCAAGCCTGGCAGGGCTGTGCAGTGATTGTGAGCGGGGCAGGCCCTCGAGGAACATTGCCGTGGTGCCGCTTAATAGGTGAGAGCCACTTATGACAAGGTCCTTGTGTTATTTCACACCAAAACGCCTTAGAGGGTGTCCACAGTTGACTCACCTAACAATAAATTCTGCTGTCACTGGACATTGTCATGGGGAAGGTGTGTCAGTGGATTTGTTGCCCAAAGAGGTCTTATCGTTAATCCTCCATATTATAGTATTAAAGTATTGGTGAACATCATGTTGTTGATAAACTATGTCATTGTTGAAAATCGGTACAGTGCACACTAGAGTGAAATATTTGATAAAATGTTGTGCTGCTACTGCCTTTAAAAATGTATGTACAGGGGCCCAAGTCCTTCTGATCGAGGCCCCCCCCAAAAGTGTGTGTACATATGTACACTCAGGTGGGTGTGTATATATGTGAGTTTATGTGTGTACACATATTCTGCACATGTGCGTGTGTATTCACATCCCATGACCTTTCCACCCTTCTCCACGTAGTCACATTTATAAAGCAGTTTAACTAAGCCTTAACCTGAGGGGGAGAAAGAAATGCTCTGAAATCCTCAGTGGGATTTTAGGTTTTCCACGTGTTCCAGTTACACCCGAAAGAACTGATGAGTACGCAGTGCGTGCGCAGCGCAGGCCCCGCTTCCTTGGCCGTAGGAGGGGTCCCTCCTCCGAGGGGCCGCGATCGGAGCTGTGAGAACGCGCGTGAGCAGCGCGGTCACGAAGGTGCTAAACTCCGTTCCCTCTTCTCCCACAGCCTCGTCATCCAGTGGAGGTTTGTGAACAGGGTCCAGAAGCAAATGAACGCCTTCTTGGAGGTAAGTGGCGCCGTTGGAGAGGGGATGGCGTGGCTGAGGGCGGTGTGGGGACGGTCACCCACCGCGAGACAGGCACAGGCTGGGGACCCACGGCCGAAAGATCGGGACTGCACGGCTCCCACCACGGGCCAGCCCGGGACAGGAGTGCTCAGCCACCGCGTGGCCACCCTTCCGTTTGTTGCATGTCCTCACCTTTGCTTCTATTATTTCTCAATTTGCCTTCGCTGTTTTTAAAGAGAACTTCTTGTGAATGACCCAGGAGGTGGGCTCCCCCCGGAGGCCGGACCCAGTGGCCTGTGGTTTCCGGCCGCGCCCAAGCAAAGGCCGAGACCGTCTCCGCCTCTGGCTGTGCTGCCGGCGGAGCATATAAAACTCCCCGGAGCGAAGCCCCTCCCTTCACAGCTGTTTTCACAGCTCCTCAGACTTCGCTCCTGTGCAAGCACATGTGACACACATTTTCTCAGGCTGGGTTTTTATCTTAGACCAGGTCACCTTGTGCCAACTGAGTGAAAGGATCCAAGGATTTTGAAGCCAGGCCCCTTATGATAGGCCCAGGGCAGCATCGGGGAAGGGGGTTCATCATTTTTAGAAATGGTTCACTTTGACCAAAAGTGAAATTCCTCTTTAAATCTTGATAGTGGGTATTACTCAAAATAAACAGTAACAAGCCCAAGTGCACATTATAAATTTCCAGCTAACTAATGCAGAACTTGCCCCAGGTTGTGGTGTTTGAGCCCCAGACCCTGACAACACTCAGAAATGCTAGGGGCATAAGTGTGGGTTAGATGTACTGGAGAACCGCAGGTTTCATACTTTATTTATATAAGAAACCCAGAAGCACATTCCTGGGCCCCACCCCACATGATCCATCCTTACTTGCAAAAGCCCGGCCCCAAGCAAGGCCCAGGGCATGGCGTCTCCACTCTGTAGCCTTCATTACCCGGTAACTAGAGCAGGCTTCCTGTGGATATTGGGCACCCCTGGTCTCCGCTGTACCGAGCCCACAGCCTCCTTATATATTTCACCTAGGTGCCTTCGGACCTGATTTTTAAATGTGTTCTCTTGCGCATCTGTGGTGGGTTTATTATAGGACACGCTGACTCAGCACTGCATCATAAATGACTGCTGGAACCCACCTGCCTCCAGTGCCCATATTTTCATAGGGCTTCAGAGACTACTCAAGTACCTGAGCCTTCTAGGTTCTACTCTTTCTCAAACTTTTCATATCATGAGTGGGCTGTTTTTATTAGAATTACAAACTATGGATACTATTACTGATATATAACTTATTAGTAAAAAATGTATTTTTTTTGGCTAACCATAAAAAAAGTTTGTAAAATTTGCCTCCTTCAAGGAAAAAGATATTTAGGGTGATTTTCGTTTGTTTTGTTTTTTTCTTTCAGGGATTCACAGAGCTGCTTCCTATTGATTTGATTAAAATTTTCGATGAAAATGAACTGGAGGTTTGTATTAAGTTTCTCATTACTTCACAAAATGATATTAATGTTCTCTGATCCATAATGTCCTGGGGAGTCAGCTTAAGTGAATTCTACTGAATGTCCCTTAAGGGGCTTGTTTGTCAATCGGGGAGTAAGGAAATAGCAAAAGTCGTCACCTGCAGATTCCTTTCCTGGGAGAGGGCAGTTTTGGGACATGTGGGACAAGTAGAGGCCCACTGAGCAGAGTTGGGTTCCTGGCCCATTGCCCCAGGTGAGGAAAGTTGCTGCTTCTCATAGAGCCAAGGTTGCAGCACCAGTTGGGGTGGCAGCACCTCCTCCACCCACC